GGGTGGAGGCTGCCCTCACCTCTTAACAGTTCTTTGCAGTCTTCACCATTCGATAGCGTGCAGTGTCAATTCGGCTCCATCAAGATGCTTTGAGAAAACGTTTGAAGACATGCTTTGGGGTTTGAGAGGGCAAACTTCTTTCCTAAGCAATTTCTCTCATTCCTGCCATTAAAAACAAATGAGATGTTGATGCATTTTGAGAATGAGTATGGTTCTGTTTGTTTCCATTTCCTGCCTTAGTGCAGGAAATTGGTCCCCTGAGGGCTGTCCCCCACAATGGTGTGGTCAGCAACCCCAAAGGAGAGGAAGTAGATTGCAGAGGTCCACTGTGGGAGGAGCCAGAGGGCAGAGCAAAAGCATTCCCAGCACCTGCACAAATATACCTTAAATGCTGAATGAACAAACGCTGGATGAGGAATGGAGTGAATGAATGAACAATAAGGAATCTTTCGGACAGTGATTGTTAAAGAGTCTTAGAATTTTATCTTCAGTTGAAAATCACCCCCAGGTACATCTACACCTTTCCACAGAAGCTTCTTGGATTTACACTTCTCTTTTAGTCTGTTTGTGTGATTTCTTTTCCTTCAAAGCTACTCCATGATCATTATTAGTTGATCCCACCTGGGCAGGAGTTGGTCCGCATGCTCATTTTATTTTACTAGGGCCAAGGAGGCTCTTGGAGATTTGGTGGGGAGAGAGGAAGGAATACAGAAGGCAGAGGCGATGACTGTGACCTCAGGTTGAGATCTGAGTTCTAGCACTGGTTCCGTCATTCATTGGCCATGTGACTTTTGGCCAAATTCTTCTTCACCTTCATTCATTCATCAAACATCTAAAATATGTGTTCATTGTCTAATAGGTGCCAGTGGCATCTTGGTACCAGACATGCTCCAGCAAGGAAGATATATACCAGGACCCAGTGTTGCTTGGGCTCAAATTCTAATCGGTTGCTAATAAAACTAATCAGGACACAGGGAAATTACCAATACTGACAAATTCTGTGAATAAAATTAAAGCATTTACAAGAACATGACTGGGGTGGTCAGGAAAGATCTCTCAGAGGAGGTGACATTTAAATTGAAACCTGAACTTTCAGAAAAAGCCAGCTGGGGGGTGGGAAGAGCTGGGGGGGTAGGGCCAGGCAAAGGCATGCAAAAGTCCTAAGGTAGGACTGAGCTTGGCAAACTGGTGCAACCCAAGGAGTGAGAGCAGAATGAGGCCAGGCTGGAGAGGTGCCCTGGGGCCATATTAGGCCAGCTTGCAGGTAAGAAGAGGGGTGGGGGTGGAGTTTACTTGAAGAAGGGAAGCCATGGGGGTACTTTAAGCAGAGAATAGGTTGCAGGGGGAAGAATGGAGGCTGGGAGCATTGGGGGCACTACCACAAATCCAAGCCAGAGATGATGGTGGCGTGGACCTACTAGGGGCAGTGGGTTGGTATAAGGTCATGTTCATTCCCTTCATCTACACAGGAAATTAGGAGACCTGGGAAATCCAGATTCCTGGGTCCCAGTTGGAAAATCTCTCTTGGCCTCCTGCCCACCTCTGGATTTGGGATTAGGACCTGAATCTACCTTGTGCCCAGCTGCCTGTCCATAGCATGCAGTGGCTAATATTCTGTGGCCATCTTCTGCTCCTTCCCTTAGATTCTGCTCCTTCCCTTAAAATTATCTGGCTTATGAGTAAATATCACTTTTTTGTACTTTTGTGCATATTATTAAAAGGTAACACAAACACACAGATATAAGCACAACTGGAGAAATCTGATCTAATATGATCTACATGTTTAGCTTTCCACTCATAACTTTATAATAATTCTTAAAATAAAGAATGTACTTCCTCTAATATTATTCTTTTTTCAAAATCCTTTGGTTACTCCAGTTTCTTTGCCTTTCCCTATAAATTTGAGAATCTACTTATAAGTAGCTATAAAAATATCCTGCTAATATTGGAGTCACGTTGATCTATAAAACATTTTGAAAGGAACTCTTAACTATTTTAGGTTTTCCAAACCATAAACATGGTATGTCTCTCCATTTAGGTAGATCATTGACTTATTTCAGCAGCATTTTATAATTTTCATTATACAGATCCCACACATTTTGTTAGATACCTTAGTGTCTCTTTTTTATCCTTTTAGAGATGTTGTAAATGGTATTGGGTTTTAAATTTTGGTTTCCAAGTGTCCATTGTTAGTATGTAGAAATATGACAGGTGTTTTGTATGTTCTTATTTCTTGCGACCCTGCTAAAGTCACTCACTAGTTCTAGGAGATGTACTTTGTAGATTTAATTTGTTTGCATTTATTATTCATTATGCTTGTTTTAGGATTTCTGTGTAGACCTTTTAACTGCAAATAGGTTTATTTCTTCCTTTCCAATATGTGTAGGTTTTTTTGAGGAAAACACTCATTCTTTTACCTACCATTAAATATATTAGCAGATTTATTTTTTGTTTGCTTTTGGTAGATGCCCATTATCAGATTAGTAAAGTTCCCTCATGTTCCTAATTTTTTGGAATTTTTTTCTTTCTGTTTCACTACTGGGGATTTAACCTGGGGTGCTCTACAGCTGAGCTACATTCCTAGCCCCTTTTATCTTTTTATTTTGAGATAAGATGTCATTAAGTTATTAAGGCTGACCTCAAAGTTGGGATTCTCCTGCCTCAGCCTCTGGAGTTGCTGGGATTACAGGCTTGTGCTATTGCACTTGGCCTAAAAATTTTTATCATTAATGAGTATTAAAATTATCAAATACTTTTAGTGCATCAATTGACATGATCATATGCTTTTTTTCTTTTTTAGTCTTTAATGTAGATTATGTTTATTGACTTTCAAATATTAGACCAGTATTATATCCTGGGATAAACCCATCAAGTCATTGTACATTTTATTCTTTCTATATATTGCTGGACTTGATTTGTTGTTAATATCTTGTTGAATATTTTTTCATATGTGTTTATAAAAGATATTGGCCTGTTTTCTTTTCTTCTTTGTTTGGTTTTGGTATAATGTTCCCTCTTCATATATTTTTTGGGCCCTAATGTTATTTAGGTATGTGATGTTTAATTTCCAAGCATTTGCAGATTTTCTAGATAGCTTTATGTTATTGGTTTCAATTTTTCATTTCATTATGGTCAGCAAACCTGCCTAGTAGGATTTTAATTATTTTAAATATGTTAAAGTTTGTTTTATAATCCAGGTTATGGTCTATCATGGTGAACATTCCATGTTCAATTGAAAAGAATTTACATGCTGCTGTTATTGTGTATAGTATTCTCTAAAAGCCAATTCAGTGAATTTTCCATTTTACCAGAGGTCTGTTAAAATCTCCAACTATATTTGTGAAGTTTTCCACTCATTCTTTAGTTCTATTGATTTTTATTTCATGGATTTGGAAGTCCAGTTGTTAGGTGCTTCATGTAATGCCAACTTTGTTCCTAGAAATTTTCCTTTCTCTGAAATCTGCATTTGTTCAGTGCTTGCATGATAGATCTTTCCCTCTCCCTTTGCCTCCAATTTATCCATTTCATTATATTTGGAGTGAGCCTATGGAGGCATATAGTTAGTTCTTTTTCTGTTCATATTGATTCCAACCATCTCTACTTGGTGTGTTTAACTCATTTACACTTAGTGTAATTGTGACTTCGGAAGTTGACCATTCTGTTCTTATCCATCTCGTTTGCTCTTGTTTTTGTTCCCCTGATAGAGGGGAAAGAACATCAAGGAGTCTTTCCATGTCTTTGGGACTATAGTTTCTCTAGTTAAGAGAATTTCACTTTTTCAGAACTTTGGTCACCTGCAGGGCCCTGGCCTCTCACTATTGCTATTACTACTATCACAGTAGCAGGAGAAAAACCAAAAGGAAGAGATTATTCCATCCCTCTAGTCTTCAGAGCCCCTTTCTGCTCCTGAGATATGAAAAACATGGCATTTTTTGTTTGTTTTTAAACAGTGCTGGGGATTAAAAACGGGGCCTTACACATGCTGATGCTGAACTATACCCCAGGCCAAGAGAGGGCTTTTCCATTGACTTTTTTCTATCCTCAGTATGTACTTCTAGGTTCTGGTCTGGATTTGTGTCCAAGCCAGTGTAGAACAGAGAGTGAAGAATGGAAAACACATTGCCCGATTGTTCTTACTTCAAGTTCTGGTTTCTTTCCACCTTCTGTCTGCTACCAATTACTTCTCAGAATCCTTATCCAGATGCTGCATGTATAACATCTGGATTTTTTAGTAGTGTCTAGTGGGGAGTTACGGTGAAATGTACTTATTCTGTCTTTACTGGAACCAGAAACTTAAATGTCATGTTTTGATGTTTTCTTGATTTTTTTTCTATGCATGTACGCAAACTTAAGATACTTTTAAAAATTAATGATAGAGGCCAGGCATGGTGTTGCACACCAGTAATTTCAGGGGCTTGGGAGGCTGAGGCAGGAGGATCATGAGTTCAAAGCCAGCCTTGGCAACTTAGTAAGGCCTTAAGCAACTTAGCGAGACCTATCTCAAAATTTAAAAAAAAAAAAAAATTAGAAAGGGCTGGGGATATGGCTCTGTGGTTTATCACCCCTGGATTCAATCCCCAGGACCAAAAATTTAAAAATTAATGTTAGAAATGTGTTAACTGTTTTGTTATCTGCTGTTTAAAAATGAATATTTTTGAAGGTCTTTTTAATGCAGTAAATATCAATATACATCACAATTTTATGACTGCATAGTGTTCCATGGCACAGATTAATTTATTTAATTGATATCCTATAAGTGGGCTTTTATATTTCTTCTGGGGTTGTCTCCATTATAAACAATTTTGTAGTTTATTGTTTGATTTTTGGATTTTTTTTATAATAGCCACCTCAATGTGTGTGAAGAGTTTGATCGATTTTTTAAAATGAACTTTATTCTATTGGAATCAAAGTAAAGCTGGATTTTTCCAATCAACAAAGAATCTTTCCTTCTTTATGTTTTCAAGCAGTTTAAATAACAGAAATTTTCTCTTTTTCTGTAGGTTTGAAAGAACTTCTCAGAGGAAACATCTAGGTCAGTACCCCTTTTTTAGAGCTAGTTCTTACTGGTTACTAATGTAAGTAGTTTTTCTGACTCTTTCAGAGCCTTTCCCATCATTATTATATTCCCAAAAATCCACGTATAGCCGGGCACAGTGTAATCCCAGCGGCTTGGAGGCTGAGGCAGGAGGATCACGAGTTCAAAGCCAGCCTCAGCAAAAAAGAAACTCAGTGAGACACTGTCTCTACATAAAATACTAATCAGGGCTGGGGATGTGGCTCAGTGGTCCAAGTGCCCCTGAGTGAACAAACTGGTACAAACAAACAAATTGTAGGGGAACACTGGGAGCAGACTGTGGGGCACTTCTCACTGTGGTCACAGTGAGGCAGCCTGGGGTCATGATCAAGGGCGCAGGCTCTAGAGCCAGATAGTCTGAGATCAAGTTCACATGCCCTTATGTACTAGCTATTTGACCTTGAATAGTTATGTAACCTTTCTATGCTCCAGTTTTCTCCCACTATAGAATGGGAAGGGGAATTACTACCCACCTCATAAGCTTAATATTTGTATGAAAGAGTTGATACTTTTTAAGTGCTTAGAAGGATGCCTGGCATGTATATTAAGCACCATTTAAGTATTAATTAAACATAATTGTTCCTCAATATCTTCAGGGATTTGTTTCCATACCCACCACCCCCACTTCCAGTGGGTACCAGGTACAGTCTCTGGGAGCTGCACCTTCTTTTTTCCCTGTCCCTAGCTCCAGCCTCTCTCATACTCTGTGTTAAATGAGCACCTACTGCATGCCAGACAGTGTTGGGAGGGATGCTTATATTTTCATAAAACCTATGTACAAACTCCTGTATATTTTAAATCATCTCTAGATTTCTTAAAATATCTAATATAATATAAATGCTATGCAAATAGTTGTACTGTATTGTTTAGGGAATCGTGACAAGAAAAATGTCTGTGTGTGCTCAGCACAAATGTAAGGTTGTTTTTTTTTAACCCCCAAATATCTTCTCTCTGTAGTTGCTTGAATCTGCAGATATGGAACCAACTGATATGAAGGTCCCATATATATGTCGTGAATATATATACATATATATGTTATAACAATTGCAAAACAACCTAGACTTTCCACCATTTAAACATTTAAGTACTGTTTAAATATTGCTTCAATAAATCTAGATACTTTCCTCCGGTGTCCTGGAAGCCTAGGTTCCCTTAGGAGTTTTTCTGTCCCAGATACCCTTTCTGTTCCTTCCCACCACTCACAGTACTGCCTCTTATTTTGCAGAACCACTTCTGTGCAGAAACACCACCACTCTACTTTCCATTTTGCTGCCAGAGACAACCACATCCTCCTCACCTGCACCACAGGCCCCCATGGAGAGCTCAGGTCAGTGTGGTGGGGAGTCAGGGTCTAGCAAACCTGACTGCTCAGTGAGGAAGGCCCCTCTTGTGACTGAGATGTCCCCCGAGGCCAGCAGGGCCACTGGCACCCAGCTAAGTGAGAGACCCCCAATTCAGCTGTCCAAGCGTGAGACCATCTTGAGAGGTGGACATGTACACAATTGTATGAGGGTCCCAGCTGCTGGCAGGTTGTCGAGTTGGACAGTGAGAATAATGACAAATAGCCAAGGTTTATTACCAAACCATGACAGGGAACAAAACTGCCTAGCTCTAACAATGAACAAGGAGCGATCCAAGCCCATGACAAATGTTAACTTACTTTGTCTTTATAACCATCCCCTAAGGTAGGCATTATTATGTCTCTCATTTTATGGAAAACAAAAGTGAGTCGTGGGGAGGGCAGATGGTTCCACCAAAGCCATACAGATGTCACATGATCAAAACAAGATTGGAACCTAGCAACCCAGCATCCGTATCCTTAAGGATTTCACTATGGGATGTCTCAAATGTGCATCAGGATTCTGTGATGTAGGGTTATATCACTAGGGGTTATCTTGTTTTCATGGAAGGGAAACAGAAGCTGAGAGAGGTCAGATAATTTGCTCAAAGACACACACAGCTCAGTACATGGCAAAGCCAGGACTGGAACCCAGGCTAGTTGATTTCCAAAGGTGAGATTCTCCACTCTAYGTCATTCTGGGGACAAGGAGAGATGACCCTTCCCCTGAATGCATATCATCAAATGATCACTTAGCAAGTCAAAGACCGCTTCTTGGGTCACTGGGCACAGATTCTAACACCCTTGAAAATTTCTCTCTGGAAGAAGGGGAGGGGACCACTCTGCCCACCCCAAGCAGGGACATCTACCCATATATACCCGTATACATTTATATATAGCCATATGTATATAAAAACAGCTGTATGTGTGTTATCATTTATATACTGGCCTCTGTGATTGTGGAGGCTGATAAATCCCAGGACCCGTCGTTCACAAACTGAGGACCCAGGAGAGCTGATGTTCTAGTTGAAGTTCAATGGCAGAGAAGAAGCCAGGATCCCAGCTAGGAGGCAGTCAGGCACGGGGAGCCTCTTACGCAGGGAAAGGTCAACCTTCTGCTCTATTCAGGTCTTCAACTGACTGGCTAAGGCCTACCCACAGTAGGGAAGGCAATCTGATTTATTCATTTAATTTAAATGTTAAATTCGACCCAACACACCCTCACAGAAACACCAGAATGACATTTGACCAAAGGTGTCAAGGCACCCTGTGGCCCAGTCAAGTGGATTCATAGAATTAACCATCATCACATGTGGGTGTGGGGCAACTTCAAGGAAATAAAGATTAGTCTAAAAAAACAAACAAACAACAACAACAACAAAAAGATTATAGGCTACTTGAACATTTTTCTTAGAAGATTTCAATCATGTCAGAGCTGGACCCCAAGAGAATTAGGGTACTGCTATCTCCTCAGTGTCGAGGTTTATATTTCAGAACAAAGATTCGATGTATTGCAAAACAAGCTAATAAACAACAACAAAAATCAACTTTCTCCAACTGTATGGTTTTTTTTAAAGTACTGGGGATTGAACTCAAGGGTGCTCTACCATGGAGCTACATCTGTAGATCTTTCTATTTTTTTACTTTGAGACAGGGTCTCACTTAATTGCCCAGGCTGACCTCGATCTTGCCATCCTCCTGCCTCAGCCTCTTGAGTCACTGGGGTCACAGGCGAGTACCACAGCGCCTGGCTTCCAGCTGTTATTTTTTTGCATCTCCTCCCACCACCAGGACCCAGCAGGAGCGTTACCAGGGAAGAGTTATCCTGATGCTGTGACCTTTCTCCTTAATTTCAGGGAGGAGCTGGGAGCATCTGGTCACTGGATTCCTCCTTGATCATTAACCAGAACTCCAAGCCGATCACCTAAGACACTAGTAGCACATCGGAAGTTCCTGGGGAGTTATTAAAAAAAAAAAAAAAAGTCAGTGATTTGGCCCCACCTCAGAGATCTGGCAGAGGATGTTGCGCATTTGTAGATTTTAAAGCTTTTGAGTGGTTCTAGTGTGCAGTCAAGGTTGGGAACTAGAGAAAAGTGAAGCACTTCAGGAGAGGAATTGGTTCTGTCTGGGGCCACAGGGCATTGGAGGGCCGGCTTGCCAAGTCCTAGGACAGATGAACTTGAAATTAAAGAGCAAGCCTGGACTACAGGGGTCCTACCATGGTAGGGATCTTGGTGGCCTTTCTTCTCCCTTTATCCCTTCCTCTCTCCCTCCATATTATCTCTTTAACTGTAATAATGTTGCCAAAAACTTGGTCCTTGTCCCTGATACCAATCCAATAACCAGGACACAGTTTTGAGAAAAAAGAAAGTTTATTGCTTTGCTAGCAAAGAAGCACAGGGTATTCCTGTCCCAAAGGCTGAGATTCTGCCCATCGGCAGGAATAGGGGACTTTCAAAGAAGTGACTCAAAGGCTACATTCCACATGTTTTCTGTTGCAGTTGTAATCCACTTGTTAATTTGAGAGATAGTCATTTCTGAGATCTTCTGGTACCATCCCAAAGTCTGGATGACTTCCTCCCTATGGTGGGTGTGTGATCAAGGACAGATAACTCTGCCTAGGATGGGGAAGAAAGGTAATCCTGTTTCCCCTGAGAATAGAGAGTGTGGGGGGAGATTAGGGAGGAGCAGGGAGAGAGGAAGAGAAAGAAACATGTCCATTTTATTTTATTTTATTTTTGAGAGAGAGAGAGAGAGAGAGAGTTTTTTTAATATTTATTTTTTAGTTTTCGACAGACACAACATCTTTGTTTGTATGTGGTGCTGAGGATCGAACCCGGGCCGCACGCATGTCAGGCGAGCGCACTACCGCTTGAGCCACATCCCCAGCCCAAACATGTCCATTTTAAAAACAAGTTGCAGTGGCAGAGCAGCAAGGGCTATATTCAAAGCATAAAGTGGACCACTGTACAATAACACCCGTATGGAAACTGGGAACCTTTGTTTCAGACAAATGTTGCATTTCAAGTCCCAGGTGTGCATGGATAGGCATACACAGGGTGGATGTGCCCTCTTCTCCTTTTTTTTCCCAGTAAGCAGGCAGATGATCTCACACAAAACCAGGAAAAGCATTTGTAGAGGAAAAGCATTTGACTGAGCAAGCTTGGCTTCCAAAAGTTGTGTGATCTTAAATAAAGGAGCCTCTTTTCTTCATCTGTAAAGTGGGGAAGAGAGGCTCTAGGATCCTTCTAAGTGTGAACTTTGGTCATTGGAGTCGTAATCTGGGACCAGGGTAAGGGTTCTGGACCTGGAACCTATAAGACAGAGAGAGAGAACAGTAATTGTCCTGTCAAACTCACAGGGCTCTTGGTAGAATCAAATGACATACACCGTGGAAAACACATTGAATATCCATGAGTCAAGTCAGAGCATGCTAGCTGCTATAACAAATGACCCCAAATATCAGAGGAATAGCACAACAAACATTCATTCCGCACTCACATCACAGTCCTATCTGGGCTCCACACAGACATTCAGGGCCTGAGGCATTTTCCTTTTGTGACATCTTCATCTTCAACACGTACCCTCCTAAGTCACTGTGGAATGGGAACAGTAGGGAGCATAGTGCAAAAAATTTTATGAGGGGGGGCCTTCAAGTCTCATACATCACTTCCTCTACATTTCATTGGTCAGAATAGTCACGTGGCTCCTCTGTAATTGCAGGGGAGTCTGGGAAGTGTAGTCTTCCTGTCTTCCTTTCATGAAAACGAAATCCATAGGATGAACATATAGCATTGTCTTGCTACTTTTAGGGGATATTCTTTCAAGTGCTATTTAAATATCACTATTAATACCTAATAATCATATCCTGCATTCATGGATGGGTGAGAACATAATAATAATGAATGTCATTTATTTATGGACTGTTCTGAGTCACTAATAAGGTTAGACATATATATTAACAATCTTGAGATACTTGAGCCCAAGAAATACCCCAATTTTTTTTTTCTTAAATCAAATCCACCTTCAAGCCCTCATTTACCAAGATCAATATGAATTCTAGTGTCTTCCACTTGGGGCTTGTGATAAGTCCAGGGCTTAACAGTCTGTGTGGCAGAAAGAGTCTGTGGTCTTCTGTACTTGGCTCCAGCCTCCAGAACTGGTCAACCAGGCTTACAGTATCCAGTGGACATAAGGGGCTCCTTTGGGGGACATTCTTTTCATCTGGCAAATGTGGATTAGGAGACCTTTGCTGTGGCTTTCGGGGGCACTGGGCTTAATGCTTAGATGCCTCCCTCTGATCTTTGCTACCATTGTTAAACAAGCCAGCCCTTGTCTTTCCTATTACCTGAAACCCCATAACCCTTGTTCCCTCATGACCTTGAGGAATCTAGCTTCCTACTTTTTAACTAAAGGGATCCTTCATTCTCACCCTTTGTGGACAATCTAGCTTGATCGGCTCAATTAGCGTGCTGGGAACTTGTGAATGAATGAAACCAGGAGAGTGGGAACTGTGAATCAGAGAAGCTGTGCCCATCTCAAGTGAACAGCCGCTCCCCAGCCCCTGTTGATTGATTGCCCCATGTCAGAGGAATGCATGCCCAGGATCAACCGATTTTCAGATTTTCAAAAGATGCCGGGCACCTAAGATTTTACACAAAATCTCTTGATTCAAAAAGGTTGGTGCTTAATTCATTTTTTTAAAAGATACTACACAAGCCCAAACAAAAAAACTCATCTGCAAGCCAGATGTGGACCAAAGCCTGAGAGTTTGTTCCAACTACCCAGACTTTTGAAAACAAAGTTTATTTGAGATTGTCTCCTGGGGCTACTGGCAACTTCTCTATTTTTCTCTGAAACATAAAAACATAACTCCCCTTGCAAAGCAGAGGAACCTTTAGGGCTCAGAGGACAAAGGCCTGGCTTCCCTTCTAATGAGGAGGAAAGGAGGAAGTCGCGGTGGTTGTGATGTTAGGTCTTTTTGTCCATAGAAAGAGAAAGAGATGGGTGAGGGAGAGGGAGGGAAGGAAGGATGGGAGGGAAAGAGAAAAAAAGGAGATGCAGAAAACATCAATTAATGTCTGAATAGCTGCCCCTAAATTAACCCATTAAATCTTCATGCAAGGTGAGTAAATGGAAGGACAGACTGTGACCAGTCTCCATGCCAGGCCAGATGACTTCCTTGCCTGTTTGGGAGGGAAGCTACCCTATCTGTAGGATGTCCAGGGGGAAGATGGGGCTCCAGCACTCCTCTCACTCTTACCCTGGAGGAGAACCAGAATGGAGCCTTGACAGGGGGAAGTGTCCCACAGGGGGACAAGTAAGAGCCAAGAGGAAAATGGGGGCTTCCAAGATATTAGGTGGCCCCCATGGACTTTGCCTAGACCCACCCCAGAGCCATTGAGAGGCCACTTGGTGAGCACCAGGAAACAGGGAGCCTTGGCCTGAACAAAGTTTAACTCTTGAGCCACAACCTAAATTAAATTTATAATCTCTCTCCTACTTCCTTCCAGAGGAACGTGGCATGCTTAAGGTTTATATTTAAAAGCATAAACATTGGGCATGGTGCCGCATGCCTGTCATCCTAGTGACTCAGGAGGCTGAGGCAGGAGGATCGCAAGTTTGAGACAAACCTCAGCAACTTAGTGAGGCCCTAAGGACTTAGCCAGACCCTGTCTCAAAATTTTAAAAATTTTAAAAAGTTGGGGGTAGGGGTGCTGGGGATGTGGCTCAGTGGTTAAGTGACCCTGGGTCTAATTCCCAGTATGAATAAATAAATAAATAAATATAAATAGAGCTCAAAGCTGGAACACCCAAGAGGAGCCAAAAAGAGAGGTCCCTGTCCCTTGAGACGAACTGATTCTTTGAGGCTAAACCCTAATTCAGCTTTAAGTTTCCCGGCAGCCAAGTCAAAAAGGGAAGCCCTGAGGCACGTGGTCCTCCCTTGTCTGCGACCTCCGACTCTACATTTGCCTTTAAGGACAAACTCTTGGTTGGAGCTCACTACCAAGAGGAATTTGTTGTGTGGGGAGTGTTTCCTACCCTTCCTGTCTATGCTGGATCCTCCAAGAAGCGGACACCAAGACAAGCTTAGATGTGCAAGGATGTGTTCGAGGAAACACCTGCCAGACAGAAGATGAGGAGGTTGCTGGGAGGGTGAGCTGCCCCACAGCAATGCAAATCTGACCCCAAAGGAAAGAGAAAGAGAAGCAGGGCCGGGTGGAGACTGGCTGGGGTGGGATTTTGCATAAATTCATCTGAGAAAGGATCAGCAGGATGGTGGAGAGCTTTGAGGCAAAGGTAGCTGTCACAGCAGGTGTCTCTTGGGGATGCCTTTGGAATCCCTTGTTGCCCTCTGTGTTGTCCAGGAGCGTGGCTCCACAAGGGGCAATGGATTTCACAGCACAGCAGCTGCGGGGCCAGGGTCAATTAGACTCCCAATAGCGGACGATCAGCAAGGTGCATTTTCCTGGCTACCACACTTTGCAAATGTCTATTGCTTCTTCTTGTACCAACTTTGGTTTATTGCCACATCAACATACCACTATTTAAAAAAAAAAAAGTATTCTGACTCTGGTCAAGCAAGAAGGCAGACTTTGTTGAAAAACGATTGCAATAGGAAAGAGAGAGCAGGCTCAACTCGGAATAAGGAAAACAGCTGGAGAGCAGGGTCCGTGGGTAGAAACACCCCAAGAGGAGACATCCACAGGGAGGGATTCTTGCTAAACTGACTGGATAGGATTCTTACTAGAGGCAGGTCTTATACATGGAAATTGGGGAATGAAGATATCAAGGGTGGGGAAAGCTCTTTAAAGTGACCTAGCAGGATTCTTACCAAAACTGAGCTGGACAGGCCCAAAACAGAGCAGGCAATAAGGAAGGTCAAGGCCTGGTTAAGAGAGTTCAGAGGAGCTAAGGAAGGTTTGATCAAGGACAGTCTTTATTACCACCTGTTACATGGTGTGTAGCTCATATGTTTCTTTAAATTGACTTTAAATTTTAGTTTCATGTATAGATTGAGGGACTAGTTATACATATTTTTTTTCTAATACACATTAAAATAAATGCATAGTTATTCAAATTTTAGGATTGTTATGCACCACCCAAAATTGTATTGCATATCATCAGGAGTAAAAAATAGTCCCTCTTTATCCACCGGAAATACATTCTAAGAACCTTAGTGAATGCCTGAAGCCCTAGAGATTACCAAATCCTTACCTGTAATTCTGGGTTTTTTTCCCTCATATTCCCTGCAATAAGAATTTATCTGTCCTTCCATGTTTTATGCCCTTGTGCATCTTTGAGTCTTTCTCTTGTGCTTTGGGGGCCATTATTAAGTAAAATAAAAGTTACTTGAGCACAAACACTACTATACTAGGATGGTCAATCTGGCAACGAAGACAACTACTCAGTGACTATCAGATGGGTAGTGTACACAGCATGGATATGCTGAACAGTGAGATGAAGCAGCATGATATGAAATTTCATTATGATACTTAGAGTGGCAAGCAATATAAAACTTAACTTATGAGTTATTTATTTCTGGAAATTTCCATTTAGTATTTTGGGACTGCTTTTGATTGTGAGTAACTTGAACTGTAGAACTGCATTTTGGGAAATACTGATTTTACTGGGAAATGCTGGCTTTCCAGAGGACCAAGGACATAGAATTACGGATGGAAATGCCATCTTCCAGCCTTGACTCGTGTGCTGGTTGATTACTTGTGGGTACCTCCTGAGGTTCATGGAAAGGCTAAAGACATTTTCAGGAGAGGTGGGTGCAGGAGTGAGGCCAGGTGGGCCAAACTCCAAGTTCCTGGCTCAAAGACCCCCTACCTCCAGATGCAGAGTTGGACCTGCAGAGAAGTGTTCAAGCTGTGCTCCGGGAGCTCAGTGCCCAGGCCCCTGCCCTGCAAAGCAACCAGGGTAAGAGCCACTAAGCAGGCAGCAGCCATTCGCTTTGCCTCCCCCACCAGCCCCCCTCCATCTCTGCCCATGAATTCAGGAAGGATCCTGACCTGGAGCCAGCAGGCAGGGGCTTTTAGCCTAGACCCCTTCCCCTTGGAAACACCTGAAATCTGGAGGTCCACCAGAAATGGCTTCTCTGCTCCCTAGTGTAACCTTCCCACCAGCTGTGGGAGAGTGCATTGTGGACCTGTCCGTCTCTTTCTTAACCACCGTGCCTAGCTCTATTTCCAAACAAAATTTCCCTCTAGGCCAATAGAACCTCCAGAAGGTGGCTGAGGCACACACCTGCAAACCAGTCTCTATGATCCACATGCATACGCTTTCTCCACTTATGTCTTCCTCCCCTCATTTCTGCCCCTAAGGGTTGCTGTCCACTAAGGGTTGCAGATCAGAGTCCCCCTATATGGAGGAATCCACCTATGATGTGCACCTGGAGCCCAAGGCTGGCTGCAGGGTCAGTGTTGGGCCCCAGGCTCAGGGTCCTGCTCAGAGGAATCTTTTCTAAGAGCTGCCTGCCTTGCCTGGTCTTGCTGGGTTCCCCTGTCTCCTGGTCCAGGCATGTGGAGGTGGTCCCTGCATAAGAAGGTTGAGCGAGATCCTGGTAAGAGCCCAGTGCTGGTCCGCATTCTGCTCAGAGAGCTGGAAAAGGTGGGTTCTGGCCTTCCGGGAGGTAGATGGGATCGAGAGGGGCTCATTAGCTCTGTGTCCCCAAACTTGGATCATTTGTGGGTCATATGCTTGGTGTTACCATGCATATGTCCCTCTTAGACTTTTACATAAGCAATATTTTCTTTATGTTGCTTCCCCCCAAGGAGTTCCCTGTACCCATGCCCCACACATAGAGGGGGCTGCCATACCTCTGCTCCCTCCCCACCCCACTCCTCCTCTATCCTTTTCACCCCTGTTGGCATAATGGGATCTGCCTTCCACCCCCTCCTCTGCCCAAACTGCCTCCTGTTAAGATGAGCTGTCTGCCCCCCACCCACCCACATCACAGGATCTCCTGTTTTCCAGGCAGAAAGCGAGGACCTCCGGCACATCATCATCCCCCTGCTACACACTCTAATGTATGTGCTCACTAAGGTGAGCTGGGAGCTGGGGTCCAGGCGGTACTGGTGCCCCACAGGTGGTCGGGCTGAACACTGTCCTCTCCCCTCTCACCTAATCCCTGCCAGGGGAAGCCTAGTCAAGCTCTCAGACTGCTTCCTGCACGCTGGCTTGTAAGCTCCCTTTCTCTCCTACGTGGGGAAGCCGAGGCAGTGTGGAGAATTCATGGAGGGCTTCTGATGGCAGCTTGGATTTGCTCATAGTTACTACATCACTGATCCCTACAAGAAGGAAAGACATACCAGAAACAGATTTTTAATGTCTTAGGAAAAGTACCCAGGAGCTGTGTGTAGTCTTGGGAGGTGGGAGGGAGTGGTGAAGAAGAGGAGGGGCAGGAAGAGCAAACCTGGGGCTTCCGGGGGGGAACTGGGATGATCATGGACCTTAGCTCCCCAGCAAAGGCCCAGGCCCAGGGCACAGAGAGGAAGAGGAGGAAGGGGGCGGAAGGGGAACCTCTGGGCATTGTGGGAGACACCTGTGGCATGCAAGGAGGAACAAAGGAGAATCAAGGAGTAACTCCAAGGTTTTGAGACTGCAGAACTGCAGAGGTGTGCGGCCTGGGTGAGCAGAAGGGTTGGGAGGGGAGCTCATGGAGTGCAAGGAGATGAATTTCTTTCTTGGTTAGCTGGAGTGGGGCATCCAAGGGAGGTCTCAGATGCTGGGAGAAGAGTCTGGAAGTTATGGATTTGGGAGAGAGCTGTGAGCCGAGTCTGGTTAGCACCTTCCTCCTTTCCCTCGCCACCCCACCCAGGATCCTTCATGACCTAGAGTTCGGGGCACCCCAACTCCTCCCTCTCATTCAGGCCACAGGCATCACAGAAGAACTCTACCAAAGAACCTATGCCTTCTGCACCAGGTTACTGACCCTGCCCACCCCCTACTGCACAGTTGCCTTGGACTGCGCCATAAGACTGAAAACGGAGACAGCCGTCCCAGGTGAGAGCCCCTGGACATCCTTATCTCCCATGCTGCTTTGCGAGCACCACCCAAGGTCTATCCCTTTTCTCCAGGATTCCAGGGAGCTCAAGAGTCTCAGCACCTTGCATGGGAGGGAGGGGGTTGGGAGTCAGAGACTCAAAGCCTCATTGGCTGACCTAGTCTGGTCTGTAGGGACACTGTACCAAAGGATGGTCATTGCTGAACAGAACTTGACGAATGAACTGTATCCCTACCAAGAGAGGTGAGTGACTCCATTACGATTGCTGTCTGCAGCCCCTTTGAGATGCTGGGGCTCGTGTGATTGATCATGAGCAGGAGGACCCAAGAGGAGGCTAGATTGAAGAGTCCTGGCAGAGCTTGGTGGCCATGACTTCTGTCCTGCAGTGGCTTGAGTTTGGAGTTCAAGAGTTGTCAGGACATATCTTTTTCTGGAGTCCTTTGGAAGGAAAAACCTCTGTTCTTGGCTGGATTCAGAGCAACCCTGCTCATGGGCAGAGGGTGCACCTGGCCCTGGTCCTGAGGCTACTCTGCAGTTCTACTGTTGAACCTCCATCCTGCCCTTGGCCATGATGGAGCATCAAACCAGCCAGGCAGCCAGAGGCAGCTCCAGAATATCCATAGTGTAGGGAGTTGAGGCCACAATCATGCAAGGAAATCTGTGTGTGCCCAGCCCTTTACATAGGACTGTCCACTGTTGGAGTTGGCGAGAGGGGTGATGATGTTGGGGGTATGTGCCTCTCTCTTCTGCAGGTACCTCCACTGACTTGACATTGAAAAGGTGCAGCTTGAGTTGAGGTTTAGAAAGAGTGCAGGGAGGTAGAGGGAGACCCAGAGCAATTAGTGCTGGAGAGGTGGGGTGACAGTTGAGTCAGAAGGAGGGTGTTCAAGAATGGTTTTCTGGTGTGTTCGGGGTGATGAGAGAAGATGGGGTTGGTTCATTGTTCAGAGATCTAGTTCTAGCAGGAAGGACTTAGGGTCCCTCCAAGAGAGTGACATGGTCCCTGGGTCAGGATGCTGAGGGAGGGAGCAGGATTTGGAACTTCCCTTGACACAGGGCTAGTCCTGCTTCCCTGTATGAAGACAGTGGACCGCAGCCGAGGGAACTAGAGCTGTCCCCTAGAAGGTTCCGTATGTGTTCCTATTTGCCACAGTCCCCACTACCCCTTATTGTCATCTCACTATAGATTTTTAAATTTGAGGCTCCTCTTTTCAGAGGAATGCTTGTGTTGTATGTGTGTGTGGGGGGGGGGAGGAGGTGGCTCCAAAGCTTTGAGGGTGCCCATCCCCAGTGGCCCCTCTCCCAGCTGTCCTCTTCACCAGTCCTGCCCCCTCCCCCACCCCACCCTCAGAGTGTTCCTCTTCGTGGATCCTGAGCTGGTGTCCGCCTCTGTGTGCAGTGCCCTGCTGCTGGAGATCGAGGCAGCCCAGGTGACCCCAGAGGCCTGCATGCGCCACGTGGTTTCCCACGCCCTGCAGGCAGCTCTGGGGGAGGCCTGCCACGCTGGTGCTCTGCACAGGAAGCTGCAGGTAACTGGCGCCCGGGCCCTGCATATCCACACCAGTTGCTCACTGATCTCTTCCTGCTTCTGTTTCATAGCACCTTTCCTCCCGTAAATCAGCAATRAATACATGCTTGCTAAGGACAATCTGAAAAGTGCAGATAAGCTAAGGAAGAAAATAAAAACATCTCCACCCGGAAATAAAAGCCATGAACTAAATATTTGAGTATATTTCCTGAATAATAATATCAGTAATTATTATGGACAATGTTTATTGATTGTCTATGGTGTTCTAGGCACTCTGTTAAGCCCTTTAGGTCTGTCACATTTTTAAATTCTTCTAGTGCTATGAAATRGATGCAATTATCATCTACATTTACAGAGAAGTTGATAACCTCATGGTCATACAAATACAAAGGGACTGAACTAGGATTTGAACCTGGCTTATATCAAGCTTCGATTTAAATTGCCTCCCAGCCCCCATCCCCCCTCCTTGGTAACAAATTAAGATATTAAACTCTGTAACAGTTTTACATAATGCATATGTATTTAGWATATATGTATTTATTTTCCTATGCCATTGGAAATATGCCACATAGAAATATTTTTCTTCCTAAAATATGAACTTCTAATAGTTGCACAATATTCTCTCTTGTCCTATGTTGCTATATTTAACCAACCCCCCCCCCATTCTGGTTGTGGCGCATTTGGTCTGTTCCCAACACTTATTTATTTCCTAGCTTTTCTCTGACCTCAACCTTGGCCCCTATATGTGGCCCAAGAGATCAAGTAGGTTGGAGATTTTCTGGCCAAAAAAATCTAGCACCAGGTGTTGGATCTTGGGTGGTGGAGGACTGCTGCCTGTTCGGGTCACCTTTTGTGGGGTGGTGAAGACTGGGGAAGGTTGGATTCCATGATGGCTAAGGTTGGGAGATGCTAAGATTTGGGACAGTGATGCTGTTGCTGCAGGAGGGGCCAGGCACCCAAAAGGAAGGATGCCCTTAAGGTTTCAGCTGTCCCCTACTCAGCCTGCCCCAGGAAGTGAGCATGTGGTGGGGCTTGGGGTGGGGGGAGTCTTCAGTTCTTTTTTTCCAACTCCATGACTGAGACCCTGTTTTGCCCATCAAAATGCATTTGATGGCCCAAGCACAGTGGCACAGGCCTGTAATCCCAGCAGCTCTAGAGGCTGAGGTAGGTGGATCTTGATTCAAAGCCAGCCTCAGCATATTAGCAAGGCCCTAAGCAACTAGTGAGAACCTGTCTCTAAATAAAATACAAAAAAAAAAAAAAAAAAGAGCTGGGGATGTGGCTCAGTGGTTAAAGTGCCCCTGGGTTCAACCCTGGTACCCCCCTCCAATGCATTTGATGGGGTACTCTTCCTACTGTTGTTTGCCATATGAAATTCTCCACAGCCTGAACCCTATACCTTGGATCCTTTGGCGGATCCTTCCTTTAGGTAATGTTGTATCCCTCCTTGAACCATTGTGGGCCACAGGCCATGTCCCCATAACAGGGTGTGAGGGGTAGAGATGAGTCTTGGTTGCAGGCAGCATAGGGCAAAATGCTGCAGGGCAGGAGTGGACCCTAGACGTCAGGTCCAGGTGCCTTTGACTGGCAGCTCCCACCCAGCCCTCAGGAACAGAGACAAGGTGCCCCGTGGGGCTGGCATGAAAGCTGATTGGGTGGATGCGGGGCCGGGGCTCAGACTCTGACGTCCCTCTACGCAGGCCAGCTCCCGCCGTGTCCTGGAGCACTATTTCCTCGCAGTGGTGGCCGCAGTGGAGCAGATGGCGAGCGAGGCCAACCCAAGCCGGGCGGGACACCTGGAGAGGCTGGAGGAGATTTACTGCTCGCTGCTGGGGCCGGCGGCCACAAGGGGACGCTGCAGCGGTAAGCTGGGGACCTGCTGGGACACTTGACGGCAGGGGGCGACCGAGAGCAGCGCTGTACCCGCCTGGAGTCTGCGGGATTTGGCAGAGCCAGACAGCGCCTGTCATAGTAGCCTGTGGATTGACAGGAATGCCCAGGGACATGGCAGGACCTGGGCTAAGAAGGTGGCTCATTTGGTCACGATAACTCGCATCTACAGAGGACCTACTACTATACACCCCAGGAGGAGTTCCAAGCATTTTACATATATTTAAATATATTGCATATATTAAGTCAACCAATCACAGTAAACTTATGAATTAGAAACTATTATTCAYCATTTTTACAGAGGAGAACAGTGAGTTAGAAAATCACTTAGCTCGTAAGTGGCAGAGCCAAGATTCAAATCCAGGCAGCCCAGTTCTTCACCACTGCATCGTAGTAACAGACAGATGTAATGGTGGGAAGACAGCCTGCAGAGGATCTAAAGTCAGCATCATTTAGATCCCSTGTCATAGATTGTTAACCTGCATGCTTCCTCTCTATGTGCATGCTCGTAAGACAATGGCATATGCTGATGGGGGCAAGCCCCATGTMGATGGGGAAACCCAGAATAGCCCAGAGAACCCAGAATATGTGTTTTCAGGCAGTTGCAGGATGATTCTGATGTGTGTCCTGTTGTTGCGGGACCACCCAAAATATACATGGAAGGCGCCAGCCTGCATGTCCCAGAACACTTGGTCACTCACTGGGCATGCCTGGTTACAAGGCACAGCATAAAAGGCTGGAAACCACTGCCAGAGGTCAGTGTGCCAACCCTGGGGCTTGAATTTGGCCAACCCCCAGTTGGATGGAGGCTGCAGAAAGTCAGGGCGAGGCGGCAGGAAAGCCCCTGCCTAGACTCCATCTTCCCGGTTTTCCTATCTTTTGTATTGCTTTAAAATTCTAAGCCACCTCTGATCACAACATGGAAATGGGCTGCCCAGGGAGCCTCCCTCCTCCTGCAGCTGGAGCAAATCCTGTGGCCAACGGTGGGACTCTCTCGTCAGGTTCCACTTGCTAACACTCCGTATCACTCTGCATTGATCAGGAGAGATCATCTGGGCCACACCCACCATCCAAGCCACATCTGGGGACACCTGTCTCCTACCTAGGCTTGTCCTGTGCATCTGACTGATCAGCCAGCACCCTGRTCCAGACCCTGCAGCTGTAGGGGGCAGCCTGGGACAGTGACAATAAGCAGCCCAGTGTCACAGATGARAGCCAGGCTGCTTGGGCTCAAATCTTTGCTCTGCCATTTACTAATTGTGACCTTGGGCCAGTTACTTCACTTCTTTGTGCCCTGGCTCCTCCCTGTTAATTGAGGATTATGTTACCTGTCCCCCAGGGTCGTTGGCACGATCCAGAGAGATGATTACAATGTCTGCCAGGTGAGTAGAACAGCCCCTAGCAGGTAGGAGGTGCTGGATGAAGCTTGGTTGCCCTCCCCTGAGGAAGTTCACAGCCTCATGAGGGAGGGGGCCGCAGCTGGGTAGGAGTTCAACAGAAACAGCCGAATCCTAAGGCTGCAGGTTAGGTGTGCCCAATGTGTACGCAATGAGTTCTGCTCAGAGAGAATGACCACCGTGGACCACCGCAGTGATCAGAAGGTTATGGAAGGAGGGGCAGGAGGAGGGGATGGCCCTTAGTTGATGGGGCCTCTTCGGCATGACTGGCAGGAGCAGAGGGGTGCATACAACCAGAAGCAGCTCTGAGAGATCGAGTTCTTTCCTGCCTCACTGGATGTGGGCAGGGTGTTGGAAGAACAACGGGAAAAACCAACGTGACTGTCACACGGTGCCGAGGGCAGGATCAACCCTAGAAAAGTCTGGAAAAGACTCTGTGCTGATTTGCGAAGGGCCCTGCAGCTGAGCTGGACAGTTTGTAGGACACAGGGAGCCCCTGAGTATTCTTAGGCGAGGAGGTGACGGCAGCATGGGGCCCTGGATGACCTGCTGATGGCAGAAATGGAAAAGCAGACCCTACAAGCCCAGACATGGGCCAGAGAGGGTCCCTGCCACCCCTCTAGGCTTCTCCACGGGAGCTGGGCAGGTGGGGAGGGTGGAGGGGAAACCCACCACCCTCCTCTCTGKGGTCCCCACAGCCTGCTTCTTTCCTTAGGTGATCCTCTCCAAGACCGGCCACCGAACATCCCTCTGCCCAGCCCCTACATCACCTTCCACCTGTGGACAGACCAGGAGCAGCTCTGTACGTGTCCATGTCTCTGACCACCTCTTGTTGGGAGCTGGCTGGAAACAGGGGGTGTGTGTGCTTACGTCTGTGAGTGTCTGTGCACACGTCTTTGTTTCTGTGTACTCCTGCTGTGTGCTTGTAAGCCTAGCTCAGTGTTCTCTGTTCTTCCCCAAGTCATTCGTTGCATGCACCTGGAAGAAGGACACATTTTCTCCATGTTGGGATAGCTCAGGGTTTTAGCCACTGGTCTCAGAACATGCCACTAGGCCATGTTGATGCCAACAGACAATGTCCCCAAGAGAGAGGCTAGCACAAAGCATTATGATTCCCAAGGCTGGAGGGGACCTTCCAGAGTGACCTACTTGTCCAATGCTTCCCCTTCACTCTGGTGTCCCCCCGTCTTCTCTCTTTTCAAGCAAAAGAGGGAGGTCAAGGATGCAGGTTTTGGTGGGAAGTGTAGGGCTGCGGGATAGGGTTCAGATCCTGACATTTGATTTTGCATGCTCTTGGGTCATGCTATGCAAATGTGCTTCTCACTCTGGACCTCAGTTTCCCCATGTGTAATAAAACAAAGGTGGATTAGAAAAGCTCGAAAATCTTCCCTGGAGCTGATGGTATCCTCTGGAAGCTACAGGGAATAGGAGGTTGGGAGGGTGCCAGCTTAATGCAGGAGGTGCTGGGTTAAGCTGATTTCTTTAGTGCAGGACTGCTCAGAGCCTTTAATATCCACTTATGGGATTCGACCCAAAGGGACAGAAGTGTGCAGGGTTCTGAACCTTTGTTCCTTTGTGGAGCATCTTGTGGGCTTCTTCAGCTGAACAGGGTTTGAGAAACATGGAGCCCTCACGGCTTTTCTGGGGAGGGGCCCTGCCAGCCCCAGATGCCCTGACCACTCTGACACTCCTCCCTGTGTTCCCGTCCAGGGAAGGAGCTGGTTCTCTTCCTCCGCCCGCGATCCCAGCTGCGCCTCAGTGCTGACCTGGAGGCTTTGGATCTGCAGGGCCTTGGGCCAGACCGGGACTTGGCCCGGGTGTCCATGCTGTCCACTGACAGTGGCATTGAGCGAGACCTTCCTGTGGGAGTTGATGAGCTCCCTGCCCCCGGCAGCCCAGAGACGGAGCGGGCCGGCCTGCAGCGTAAAGGGGGCATCAAGAAGCGCATGTGGCCCCCCGACTTCTTGATACCCAGCAGCTGGGATGGACCACTGGGGCTGCACCGGAGGACGGGCAGGCCCAGTGGGGACGGGGAGCTGCTGCCTGGGGTCTCCCGGCTGCACACAGCACGGGTGTTGGTGCTGGGGGACGACAGGATGCTGGGGCGCCTGGCCCAGGCTTACCACAGACTCAGGTAGGGGCCCCCAGGAGGACGGCTGGGAGCTGAGGTGGGTCAGGGGCACAGGTGGGCCTGGTGTGTGCAGGTGAAAGATCAGAGAGGAGCAACTGAGGGTCAAAAGGAGAGGTCTGRGTGGGACAGGGGACAGACACAACATAGCACACCCTGTGCACAGCCATCACAGAGCATTGCTGATCCCCATCACCACCCTGCCTGGGAGTCATGACTGCACCCATTCCAGAGATGAGAAAACAGAGGCTCAGGGAGCTGGTACAAACTTCCAAAATTCCAGTAATAATAAACGGCAGAGTCATCGGTTTCACGCCAGCCCCCTGCCCCTGCTCTTACTGTCTGTGCTTTGCTACCTATTGCCAGGAAACGGGAGACCCAGAAGTTCTGCCTCACTCCCAGACTCAGCCTGCAACTCTATTACATCCCCGTGCTGGCGCCTGAGGTGACTGGACTCAGGAGGGGSGAGGGGACCATAGAGAAGGAGTGGAGGAGAGCTGGGAGCCCAGGGGGGTGGGGGGCGAGGGGAGCTGGGTGGGCAGAGACACATCTGCAGCCTGRCATCTCCTGGCTCAGGAACCAGAATCACCAGCCTTAGAAGATAGAGCTGGCAGAGACTTCAAGGATCTTCTGATTCAGAAGTCACCGATTTGGGGGTGCCTTGGGGGGTGCACATAGCCAAAGACAGGTGCTCTCATGGGTTTCATTTTGTTTTTGCAAAGGAGTTAGTTGCAAGACACTCAGACGTGAGTGTCCCTCTCTCTGTCACTCTTGTGTGCACACACAGGCGCACATACACCCACACACCTGGATTCCTGAGATCACTTGCCAATGTCCCTGGCAAGTGATCCTTGGCAAAGGCTCTTCCTGCTTCGCCTGAGCTAATGAAGTAGAAGATTAATTTGTCTTTACATTGTGTGGACGTTGAGGCCTGGAGAGGGTTAAATGATTGACCTACATTCATRAAGCACAGGCCCTGGTGTCTGGGGTCCTCTGACCAGCCAGGGAGGGCCTAACAGGTCTGTCCCAACCCCTTTTCCCCAGGAACCCTCAGCATCCAGGCAGCCGGAGCTGGGAGAGCTGGCTGCGTTCCTGGGCCGCGCAGACCCGTGGTATGAGTGCACCGTCAACACCCTGTGTCCCGCCATCCACAAGCTGGCTCAGATGGTAGGGGCGGTGAGGTGCGAGGGAGGGAAGGCACAGGGTCTGCAGAGTGGGAGACAGAGGAGCCAAGTGGGGGAAGGAGGGCGGGATGGAGCTTGGAGRAGGTCCTTTGGAGATATTACACTTGACCCTTGACCTCAAGAGACTGTCTCCAGGGGGCTGAGGAGGGTAAAAGGGAATGCCAAGAAGAGCCCCCTTCAACCAGTATCTGGAAAGACACTGATTTGGGTCCAGACTGTTACAGAAAAGGCAAAGTAAAATATCCTTTTATAAATGGGTAGACCAAGRACAGCCCTTCTTTGGTGAGCTTTCTAGGATCATTTTTCTGTGATTGTAACAACCAGTGTTTCCTGAGCGCTTACAATGCTCTAAGCACTTACACCAAGAGACTTGCTCATCCAATTCTCATACCCCACCCCAAATAGGTACTCATGTCTCCAGGAGAAATTGTTGCTATAACCCCATTTTACAGATCAAGAAGTTGTGGCATGAAGAGATTTGATTGCTTGACCCAAGAAATGTAAATGAGTAGTGGTGTCCCACTTAGAAACAGGCAGRCTGACTCCTGAGCACATTCTCTGTTAAAAAAAAAAATAGACCATTCATCCATAGCCCAAGTATGTCTGGGAGCAGGGAGAGAACTGGCCTGAGAAGGCCTTTATGTATTCAGAGTTATAACCTTTTTTATTGTCATAGATGTTGCAGACTTTTTTTTTTCTCTTTGTAATTTACCTATCAGCTATTTGCCTTGCACAATTTAACATTTTTGTGTAGATAGACGTTTCACTTTTATTCTTTATGGCTTCTGCCTTTGGGGCCATGCTTTGAAAAAACTCTGCCAAGATTAAATATTCACTGATAATTTACCCAAAACACTTTTAGTGCCTCTATTCTTGCATCTCATTAATTAGCCCATCTGCAATTAATTTTAATGATTTGTGTGAAATATATAATTTTTGTGGAGTTTTTTTTCCCCCCAAAGGTTTAACCAGTTGTTTCTAAAGCTCTTAATTGCATAAATCATCATGCCTCATGCATTTGATATGCCACATTTATCATTTATAAATTCTTACATATGCTGGAGTTTATTTCTGGATACCTATTATCTTCCGTTGATCTACGCAATTCTGTACATGTTAACACTTTTCTATTTTAATATCTGGCAGGGTAAGGTTWCACTTACTCTTCTTTTACAAAATTTTTCAGATTGAGCTTGTTTATTTATCTTTCCTTATAAACTTTAGAATTGCATTTCAAGTTTTAGTTTTATTTTCTTAAACTCTTTTGGGATTTTGATGGCAATTTAGAGGAGAATTAGCATCTTGAATGTATTAAGTTTCCCCTCTCTGGGATATAACTCTTTATTTATGAAAAACCTCTTGTCTATCCATCAGTATAATTGTAGTTTTCATCACAGAGCTTTTGCCYATTTTTCACGAAACTTATTCCTTATGTTTGATAGTGTTTCTTGCTGTTGGGAATAGTTATCTTTCTCCCATTGCACTTGGGAGAACCTCTTTCTAGTATAAAAGGAAGATATTGATGTGTCAATATTGTTTTAGTTTTTTTTATAATTATGATAAAAAATATGTCACATAGAATGTATCACTTTACCCATTTATTAATTAGTTAATTAATAGATTTAGAGAGCTGCAGAGCTCAAAAACAAAAAGATCACATGGTTCAACCTCTTGTTTTCCCTTTAAGGAAACTCAGGCCTCAAAAATGAGCAACCAATCCAAACCTAGAATCCCAACAGGCTCTTTCAYCTTGAGTTATCTGTGAAAGAATCTTCCCTCTTCCCAGCACCCAGCATGGCGCCTTCCATGTATAGGTGCTCAATATGTCTCTGTGGAATTGAAATGGAACAGATTTCCTGGGGAGATGGAAYTCTGGACAAGTATATTTTGATGGGTGGTCAGAAAGGTTTGGAGTGTGTTGAAGGACCAGAGGGGTTTGTCCATCATAGAGTGTCTGTGGGGGCTTTGGAATGTGGCACCTCCTACMGTATCCTGGAGGGAGATGGCTCAAGATATCCCCACCCCCAACCCCACAGCCTCCCTGCTTGGACACATCCCGGACTGTGGATCCGTTCATCCTGGATGTCATCACCTACTATGTTCGCATGGGGACCCAACCCATCTATTTCCAGATCTACACAGTCAAGGTAAGTCCCCCTCTCACAGGGCTCCCAGGCTACCATGCCAGCCCAAGACCTTACCACCTAAGTATCCTGGCTCTAGGGGAGCACTGGTCACCAGGCTGCAAATCATGAATGAACCCCAAATACTTTTGATTGTCAACTTTAACTTCWTAATCTCTGGATGAATCTGATCATTATTAACTTCCAAGACCTCAGATCCAAGCAGATGGCTGGGAATCGGGGACCGTCTGCTCTGAATTCTGTTTGCCAGCCTCYGGTCATGAATTCCCATTGCTCTAAGGCTCTCTCATTTTCTCCCCCATGACACCTCGCTTCAGACTCCAGGAGACCTCTAGATTGCTGCCCGTTCTCACATGCACCCTCCCCTGCTGCCCCACTTCCTTCCCTRCTAGTCAATTTGTCATCTGAACCATTCTCCTCTGGTCCCTCACTTTCTTTTCCATGCCTTCTCTCCTCTCTCCCCTCCTGCCAAAATCCAAGCCCAAATCAGTGCTACCATGTGCCCTACATTTTGCTAAAGTTGGGCTTCTGAGGCCCCTTGGCTTAATGTCTCCCCACATTCCTAGTGTCCACCCTCTGCAGTGCCCACAGAGCTTCCTTGGTGAGCTCCCTCTTACTCTGGGACAATGACTATTCCAATTTTCCGCCACTTTCCTCAAAACCTTTCATTCAGCAACGGACTTGTCCACCCACTCCACTGAACAAAGAGAAAGGGAAGCTATTAGGTCCCCCCAAACTCCCTACCCACACCCAGAAATGCATCTACACCCATTCCCATCTTTGCAGACTCCTGGCATGGATGTGGACCTCCTCCTCCAGTTCAGAATCCCTCACCTATTCTCTCATCTCAAATGCTCTCACTTYCTCCTGGACCTTCCTCCTCTATCATTCGCTTTCACCTGTCCCTCACCATCATTTGGTCTTGGTAACCGAAAGGGAACAAAACAAACTTTGGAGAGTGGGGGAGGGGTACCGGGAATTGAACTCAGGGGCACTCGGCCGCTGAGCCCCCTCCCAGCCCTATTTTGTATTTTATTTAGAGACAGGGTCTCACTGAGCTGCTAAGCATCTMGTTGTTGCTGAGGCTGGCTTTGAACTCGCGATCCTCTGGCCTGAGCCTCCCAAGCTGCTGGGATTACAGGCATGGGCCTTGAACCCATTGATAAATGAAGTTCCCACTTATTTTCCCCTTTAGGGTATGCATAGCAACAGGGCTTGGTAGGAGCAAACCGGAAGTATTGGACTTTTTTCAGGTCTCTGACTTTTTTTTTTCCCCTCTCTGTCTCAAAGTTCCACACTTTAGGTGGCATTCAATGGTGAAAGAATTTGACCTAAATCCTTTAATTCCCAGGATTACCCAGTTCTTATGAGCTGATCCAGGTAGAAAGGACCTATTTGGGGAAGGCTGTGGGTTTGTTTTTTTTTTTTTTCCTCTGCTCTAAGACCATTGGTGTTTTCTTAGTGGCTCTTCCTGCAGAGACAASAGAAGTGGCCAATACACTTGCATCCTGGCTTTATTCTGCCCAAACCTTTAAAGCTCCAGCCCCRGGAGGCACATGGTCTGAGCTCCAGGGTGCAACAGGCAGCACCACTATAAACTGGGGACTCCTAAATCCCTCACCAGGAGGGAAGGAGTCTCATTGCCATCCATCCTGCTTGTCCCCATAAAGTTCTTCTTTTAGCATCTTTACTGAAAATTCTGTTCCCTGCTCCTGCTTTGTTTTGCAGATTATTTTAAGGTTCTGTTTGAATTCAAAATGTCCAAATATGTTTCTGGTTCATAATTGAACAGGTTTACCGGGAGATGTCATGAAAAAAACAAAGAGAGAGAAAGAGAGAGAGAGATGGTTAATAATTCACATAAGAATTAAAGACATTTAAATTACCCAGGGTCTTTCACATTCTAGGCAAGCCTTCTAYCACTGGAATACATCCCCATCCCCTTTAAGTTATAGTAAGACTTGTCATTGAGGTGGGTTTGTTCAGACAGTATGAAAATGTACTTATCTAACAAATAAGCTTTTGAATGTATATTATACAGCAACAGGAAACAGGGACTATAAAATACTTCACATTCTATTTTTTTCTTTAGTAAAGGACAGCTAATTAGCATAAATATGACCATTTGCTTTTGTTGACAAAATATCTATGTATTTATGGCATATAACATGTTGTTTTGCAACGAGTAAGCATTGTAGAATAACTCTATTGAGATAATTAACATGTGTTAGCCCAGGGGCACTCAACCRCTGAGCCACATCCCCAGCCCTATTTTGTATTTTATTTAGAGACAGGGTCTCACTGAGTTKCCTAGCGCCTCACTTTTTGCTGAGGCTGGATTTGAACTCAAGATCCTCCTGAACTGCTGAGATTACAGGCATGTGCCACTGCACCTGGCTTACCTCTGAGTGAATCCACACGTTCCCTAGCTCTGGAATGCCATCTCTCCCCCACCTCACACTCCCTCCTTCACTCCCCATGACTCTTCCATCCTATATAAAACTTCTCTGGCCTACATTACTCTCACCCCAACTGGATTGGGTACTGCTTCTCCATGTAACTATAATGTTCTGGGTGTGGCTCTAGCATATCATCTACTGATCTCTAATATTCTTGCAGAATATGTCGATCCTCACCCAAAATAGGCATCCCTTGAAATAAGTAATTGTATTCCCTTCATCCTTGAATCTCCTGTAATGCATGCATCTATGTGTCGATGGGCRTGTATTCGCGCATGCGCACTCAAGTAAATGCGAGAAGGTGTCGCTGCGGTCCTGGGGGATCCACTGGTGGGATGAATGTTCAACTAGAGGCACTGTATGCCAGTAAAACATTCGTAGCTGTGCCCTCTGGTTCCTCCACTTGATGGCTTTGAGATCATGGGCACCACTCCCTCTCCAAAATTAATTTTCCCCATATTTAAAATGGGAATATAATCTTCACCTATCATAATGTTCCGGTGAGAATTCAACTGAGTAGAAAAATATAGTAAACAGATGGCAAAGATGAGGGCAAGGTGGTGGACATACAAAAGATGCCAAGACAGTGTGAAGAACTTAGATTAGGATCCCTGCTTTGCTACTTGAGACCCTGGGCAAGTTTAACAACTCAGAGCCTGAGTTTTCAGACCCCTCAAATAAGGCCAAAGACCTACTTCCCTGGATGGCCGCAAGGATTAAATGAGATCCTGTGTGTCAAGTGCCCACCAGAGGGTCCACTACAAAAGGGTCTCCCAATGAAAGGTATTCTTGAACCCTCCAGGGTTTCTGTCCCTTGTTCCTTCATGCTTTTGTGCTCCTGTATCCAAAGGTCCAATCTACCCACAGTCCYCCAGCAAACCACTGTGATATAGTCTTGGTTATAGATATGTCATCCCAGAATGCAGTTGGGGTCACCCTGCTACGGAAAACCTAATTGACATTTGCCTGACTCCCCAGGGTTGCATGCCCTGACATTTCTGCAGGCACCTGCTAACTGATACCTCACATCCATCTCCACTTCCAGCTTCCTATCTTACTGAATTTTTATTCTTCAGTCTGCTTCCTGAAGTAGATCTTTTACTTACTGCCTCCCTGATTTTGACCTAAATGCAGGATTTAGGTCAAATTTTCCTGGAATTCCAAAAAAGCAAAATAAAACACCAAAACACAATTATCTCACAATGTCAAAGGAAATAAACATCTTGTCAACACAAATACCTTAAAACTAAAGGTTTGGCATCTCTCAGGGCCCTTCAGCCCTGGGTCTGGAGAGTACTGGTAGCTGTTTGCTGACTTGTTGCAATGAGGGAGAATKCCCACTAGGGGGTGCCATGGGGCATCACAACAGGCTGCTAGGAGGAACCTAACTCTTGAATTTGGGCTCCTGTTCCAGGATTTGGGGGAGGGTTCCCGAAAGCAAGACTCTTTTTTCTTGAATTGGATGCTGGCAAGAAATGGGAGTAAGTCAGTGAGTGACTGGGCTTCTCAGCAATTTTTACCAGAGAAGCTAAGAAGTCAGCTAAAGAATTATATTGCTGGCATGGGGGGCAGGGGGGTGGCTGCACAATGTCCCTRTTTGTGTCTGTATTTGGATATGTTTGTGGAGTGGTCTGGTTTTGTCTTGACCCATCATGGTCATGTAGCATGGCTTGCATATTGGCTAATGACATCAGCATCCATGAAGTTGCTAATGGTCAAGAGGACACACCATTAGCAACTTCATGGAGGCTTCATTTCTCCTCTCCACATTCCTGTCCTCAAAAAATCCTTGGTCACTCTTTCATGTTGTCCAGACACCCTTCCTCTTCCCCCAGCCATCCCTGGTCCTCAATGTGAATTTTGTCTCCCACCCTCCCTGCCCCTTTAGACCGTAGTGGTTACTAGGTAGTTTGGGGTTTTAGCCATAGTTTCTTCCAATATTTATAAAGATTCATGTGCTCCTTAACAACAGAGACATGATTCGAGAACTTTGCCATTGGATGATTTTATCATTTTGAAAACATTCTAGAATGTATGAATTTACACCAGTCTACATGGCATCTTGATGTGCACTTAAGAAACTTGGTAAACATGAGAAGTGTCTGCTGGCATATCAGGGCACACTGATTTACAGGGAGCTGTTTCTTATTTATATGTAGAGGGAATACACTCTAAAATAGCAATAAAAACAGTGTAATATACAACCTAGTAGCATAATCATGTATAATCATCTTCAAATACTATATGCATAATTGTATGTGTGATGCCTTTATATGACTGGCAGCACAGRTTTTTTTCTGCCAGCATTGCCACCAGCATGTGAATAAGATGCTGTCCCATGCACTTGCCTCTCTAGGTGATGGGGATTTTTGAGCTCCATTGTAATCCTGTGGGACTGCTGCTGATATGTATCCTATTGATGACCAAAATATGGTTACATGACACATGGCTATATGTCATGTTGCTGTAGATAGGGATAGATTCAAACCCAGGTAGTCATTTCATGCAGCTCAGAATCTAGCATTGGGCAGGTTGGGTGGGGGACACCTGCCCCTTCTCTGGGCATCCTCAGGCTGTGGAGTCAGAAACAGCCTTCTCCATATCTCCTCTCTTTCTTCCCTCCCTCCTATCCCCTCTCCCTTCTCTTCCTCTCTTCAGATGTTTAGTGACCTGAGCCAGGACCCGACAGAGGACATTTTCCTCACTGAGCTAAAGGTGAAAATTCAAGACTCCAAGGTCCCCAGAGGTGAGCATCTACTTCCCATTTCCCAGAGGAAAATGATTCCCACACACTTTTCCTCCCACCTCTCAGCCGGTGACACCACTTCATCCACCCCTGCTGTACCCCACACCTCTGCTGAATGCCAGGTCTGCCCTCCCCTCCCTCCAAGATCCCCCAAACCGAAAGGCAGCATGGAACCCACCCGCCATGTGCTGCCCTTCTGTCCAGGGAGAGCTACCTGGTCAATCCAGCAGCTCAGCTACAGCCTCAGCCAGGGGCAAAGTCAGGGTGGAGGCTGGGATCTCACATCTCCTGCCTCTGCTCATTTTCCCTCAGAGGGCTTTTCACCCCGGAGGAGAGGTGTGGCTGAGGGCCCCGGTGCAGAGCTCTCCGTGTGCTACCAGAAGGTCAGTGTGTGTGGACACGGCCAGGAGGGACACCTGATGGAACTGGCCTCAGGGACATGGGGTGGGGGACAGAGAAGCAGATGGAGCCAAAGGAGACTTCTTCCCCTTTCTGGAAGGTGCCACCAGTTTCTACATCTTCAGAGGGTTTTGCAGGTCCTGGTGGGTCAAGGTTCACCTTATAATACAGGAGATGATGAGATCTAAGAAACAAGAGCGCTGTCCCCTGGCTCAAAAATCTCKTCCTCCCCCCGTTGACCACGTGCTTGCACTGATGGCACTGGGCTCTTATTCCTTTGGGACTGGGAGGCTGACTGTGCTTGCTGGGGCTAGTAACACACTAAGCCTCTCTCTGCTGGCCCCTTCTGGGAATCGGTGACATGGACAAGAGGCTTAGGGCAGGTGTGGGAAGCCCAGGGGAGGTGAGACTGTGCATGTGAGGATGCATGGGGCTGGCACACCTGGAGAGCCCCCATCTGTTGCTCAATCCCCTCTCCCCAGGCTCTGCTCAGCCACCGGCCCCAAGAGGTCACCGTTAACCTGAGGGCCACTGGGCTGGTCCTGAAGGCCATTCCAGCCAGTGAAACGGAAGGTGAGGAGCAAAGAAAAAAAGGGATCAGAAGAGGAAAGGTGGGGAGAGAAGAGAGGAGAGAACCAAGCACTAGGAGCCAGGGGGAGCCAGGGGAGGGAGACCCCACATCATCCCCACCATCACAGAACCCAGGCTGGGGTGAGCTGAGCCCCATGCTGTGCTGTTTGAAGCATGGTCCCTGACCTCAGGTGACTTCCTGTCAAGTACCCCAGTCTCCGGCACAGACCTGGAGGCTGCACCTCTGCATCTGGAGGGACTCAAGGAAGGATTGCTGGTGACCTCCCACCTTTGAAGTGGACCTGCCTGCAGAATGGGTTGTGATGTTTAGGCATTTGGGATTTTTTTTTTTTTTTTGACCAGGGATTGAACCCAAGGGTGCTTAACCACTGAGCCACATCCCCAGCCTTTTTTTATTTTTTTGAAGCAGGGTCTCGCTAAACTTCTTAGGGCCTCACTAAGTTGTTGAGGTTGGTTTTTGAACTTGTCATCGTCCTGCTTCAGCCTCCCGAGCACTGGGATTACAGGAGTGTGGAAATTTTGGAACACTGTTGCAAAAAAAAAAAAAAAAAAAAATGGAGATAATAAAAGATACCAATGTATGTGCATATAAATTATAAATATTAGCTCTCACTGTGAGATCCCTGGTATCCTGGAATAATGGAAAGGACAGTAGCATGACTTACCAACCATTCCACACATGTATAAAAGTGGGGAAGTGTGTTGTGTTTGACCCATGAACTCCTTTAAGCATGTTAACCCCATGAGATAGGTATTACTAGTATTACTAACATTTTACTAGAGAGGAAACTAAAACAAAGAAAATAACTTACCCAAGGTGACCTCTGAGGAAGGGTCAGGCACCTTCACACTACATTCCTCACCACTGCTCCACACTGCCCCCCTAAGGTGGCCAGAACTCACTTCAGGGATGTGACCCACAGATGCTTCTAGAAGATCACTTCTGAGCAAACAAGAAAATTCACTCCCATAGAAAGATATTTTGTTCCCAACTTTATTCCCTGTRCCCCACCCCATGTCCAGGTTCATAGGAGATATTCAGTGAACATTTGCTGAATAAGTGAAGTGCTCCTTTACACACTAACATTTGTTTTAAAAATGAATGAATGATGCTGGGCGCAGTGGTGCACGCCTGTAATCCCAGCAGCTCTGGAGGCTGAAGCAGGAGGATCGCAAGTTCAAGGCCAGCTTCAGCAACTTAGTGAGGATCTAAGCAACTTAGCAAGACCCTGTCTCAAAAATAAAAAATAAGTAAATAAAAAAGTGTAGGGGATGTGGCTCAGTGGTTGTGTACAGGTTTTGTACACATACAGAATGTATGCTGTAAGAAAGTTTCACACATCATCTGCAAATTCCACTTGCCTAGAAGCGATTTTATCAGAAACGGATATTATTTCTAGAGTTTCTTCTTTGCACCAGATACCAAAAAAGTTGAGAATCTGTGATGCTTTTCTAAGAACACAATGTATAGCAGACAGAAAAGGGTCGCTATAGAATGACAGCAAAGTTATTGAAAATTTAGAGACAGAGTCCTGGTACCAAAAAAAAATTTTTTTGGAATATTCCATAAAAAAAACATAGAATGAAAACAAATATTTCAGGCTGAAATGCTACTGAAGAAGCTAAGTTTGATCTTTTCTCTCCTATTCAATTACCAATAAGGTCATCCGTGTGACCCTAGTCAAGCCACCTGCAACCTCTTCATTTCTAAGAGATTTTAATAGAGTTAATAGACACTAATTTGTGTGCATATAGCAAACTATAAATGTTAGCCCTCATGGTTAACTGTATCCTTTCACAAGTCTCCTCCCAGGACTGGTGTGGTGATGCCCAAACTTCCTTTGGAGGCACAAACACCTAAAAACCCTGTGTAGTTGGCAGGGAGCGGTTAAACCTGGCAGCAGCCACATAATTATGATTTTTGACATATTATACCCTATTGAGAAAGTTGAAGAAACTCTCTCAACTCTTTGGACCAAGACCCTCCTAGACACCTCGACCTACCTGTCACCTGGGCCAGGGTGTTCTCTGAATTCTTAACAAGCCCAATAGTTGCACAGAAGTTCAACAGAACTTTCTTCCTTTGAAAAAAATGGGTGCAAGAAGAGACGAAGAAAGGTTGATGGGTAGGGATTTGGGTCCACAATATGGTTGCTGGGACTGAACTTCCAGAACCTTTGTTGATTTTCCAGAGAAGAAAGACGGATGATAAGGAAGGCGTGGAGACTGGGTAGGACCAAGATGGAATCAGGAAGTGTTAGACAAGCAGGSTGTGGGAGGGGGCTAAAGAGGGAAGAAGGGAGGAGGGTGGGCTTATTATGGTTGTCTTCTCAGGAACCAGAATCTCCAACTCCCCTGTTTCCCTGGACACTCATTCCTAGCATCCCCATCTCATTCAGTTTCAGGGTTCCCCCACTGCCCCCCAACTGCTGCTCCAGTTATGGACCACACATGTCTGAACGTCACTGTGACYGAGGTGGTCAAGTCCTCCAACCTGGCAGGAAGGTCCTTCTCTGTAAGTACAGGGAGGAATGGGACAGGGAGACAACCAGATGGGAATGGGGTAGGTGGCTGGGATCCCCGAGGAGAGCGCATCCAGAAAAGGGGGAACTGGCTTGTTACCTTTGCTGCTGAAGTGGAGCCTCATACGGGAGATCATCCATTCTCCCATTGATCTGAAATGCGGAGCACCATCTGGTACAAATAAGGCACTTGAAAACTTAAGGCAATGCCCTCCCTAAGACTTCCCCAGACAGCCACACAGTGCACCCACATCCAGTCAGTCACCCCAGGCACTATACAGCAGCCTCCTCAACAACCCAGYGCAGCCTTTGACCACTTCAAACCAGCTCTTGCAACAGTGTCACCCCTACAGCCACCCCTTGCCCCTTTCTTTACCTGGCCTTGATTGATACTGATGGAGACATGGGACCCCATCCATTTTCTCCCTATCTGATGGCCTCCCTGAACTTGACTCTCTATTCAGCCTGACCCTGGAGCCCCCTCATTAGGTCCAGGTGTAATCAGCATGCTCCAAGGTCAAGTTGACACCCTCAGCTCCCAGCAGACACGAGCTTTAGATCAAGCTGCCTATGCAGTCCGTATGCCCCTGTGGCTGAGAACTTCTGAAATAAATCCTGCCTCCGTGTTGGCTAAGCCCTGGCAAATCCACGACCTCCCAGCTCACCCAGACCCTTTCCTGTCCTCTCAAGTCCCTCTACCGGTGTGCAGTTCTTTTTTCTCTTGTTTTGAAATCTTTCTTCCTCTCTCTCCTGCTCCTTCTTCACATCCAGTAAAGATTTTCAGGCCTTTTTTTTTAATCCTAAAACCCCAAAGCAACTCTGCTGGGACCCCACTACCTCTCCAGGGACCTGCTGTATCACCTTTCTTCCCTTCTCAGTCAAGCCTTTTGAAAGATGCCTCTAGAAGCTTCCAGTCCCTTTCCAGACTTCTCTGCCCACAACCATCTGCTTTGACTGTGGCAAAGTCACCTCCCTGTTATCAAAACCAGTGGTTCACTTTTCAGTCCTTCTGTTTCTCGAACATTTTTCAAGATAAGGTCTGAACCCACAAACAAAAGTTTCATTATTTATTTGGGGAAATACAAAAGAACCCAAAGAAGTAAGTTCACTAGTAGTCCCATTACCTGGTGTAGGGTGACTATTAACATTTTCAGGTGTCAACCCCTAGCCTTTTCTTCTATTTTTTACATAATTTGATAACTGCAGTACATAATGGTCTGTAATGATGTTTTTATTCAAAAATATACTAAAGCCCTGTGTATGTATCCTGATGGCACCTTCTTTATGTCATTAAATATGTTTTGTGTCCTTCAATATATTCCATTCAAAATTTATCATATGGTGGTTATATATGCCTGAATAATTATGGAAATGATGTTTATAGGCTATTCCTGGAAGTGCTCATTTTTCATTATCCTGGGCATATTGTGAGGAACCTCCTTAGGGTTAAATACGTGCTAAACATCATGTATATGTCTTTTTAAAAATGTCTAGAAATGAAATCTTCCAGTTGAAACACATCCATATGTTAGAAATTTTCATGTATTTTGCCAAATTGCTCTCTAAGTTCCACTCATGGTTGTATGTGAATGCCAACCTCACAGCACAATCAATATATAAATTGATTTGTTTCATTTTTGCAAATCTGATTGTCAATTTATTTTTAATTGACATGTCTTTCCCAATTACTGATTGAAAGTTCTCTTACATTTATTGATAATTCATATTTCCTGTATTAATACTGCCGTGTACCTGTTTTATGAGGATGTTAACCCTTTATTTGCCCTATATTTTGGAAATGCTTTTCCAAGTTTGTTGTTTAATTTTTCTTTTTTACCTAAAATAGCTTTATGTTTTGATGTAGCAAAATTTTCCAATTTCCTTCAATCATGTTTGCTTCTGACATGATTATCCATGACCTATGTCTGACATACCATAATTGTGTACACTACTAAGAAAGAAACAATGTTTCCTGAACTAGGAATAAGGCTTTCTTATCACACTRATTGCAAAAATACTTCCTAATTTTAGAAATGTTAAAATATTGGGGGGAGGGTGTAGAATTGATGGAAACCACATGCATGTTCCTTTCTTGTAAAGAAATATTCTTTATTTTCTTTACTCATTTTAAACATTATAGTCTGAGTTGTACAATTACATTCTGTAATTACTGGGAGATGAATCCTTCTGGTGACTGGGTTCACTGATCCCATGGTAGTTCAATCCCTTGTTTGTTTCCTAAGTTATGTGTCATATTTGTTGGGGATTTATCTGTAGCAAACCTGGGTGGGAAAACTGTCCCCCTAAAAAAATTCTGTCTTTGCTCTTGCTAAGTGCCCCGGTGATATTATTGGCTAAAGACCACAGAGTCTCTTTCCTGCTTGAAGGTGTGAACTGGCTGGGAAAATTTAAAAAGCCTGAAAATAATCAGTAAGGAATAAAAGACAAAGATAGAATTTAGATTTTAAAGGAGGGGGCACCTGACGGGTCTCCCAGCCCTGATAGGAACTGGAACTGACCAGCTGAAAAAGGCCTCAATCCTTKATTTAAGGGGAAATATATATCAAAAGGTTTTAGTGTGGCAGGCTTCTTGAGGGAAACAAAAGAGTGGGGGAAACAGGTTTTGGGGGCTTGGCTGGTTACACCCATCTCCGGTGGCTGCATTTGARCCTTGGGCTGTGAGCTAAGGCAGGGCACCAGTGTGATCTGGGATCTCTCAAACCAGGGAATTCCACCCAGCAGTTCCCAGCAAAGTAGCCTTCCTGCCTTATGTTGGCTCAAACAAACCCATAATTTATACATGGCTTCCAACACTTTCTGGCTCAGAAACTTCTAGACCATGCAGATAGAGTAAATGTATACCCCAAATCCACATCAACAGCCTTGGAGCTAAGAATTTTCAGGCAAAACTTCTTCCTCACTGACAGCACAAGCCAAAGCTGACAGCCTTCCATGGGGGAAAGCCCTCCTGTTTCTGCTGAAGGGCCTTTTTCTAATTCAGTCTTTCAGTGAGAGTGTCGCTTTCAAGAATCCTTGAAGGGAATCTGTTATCAAATCCCTGCTTCATGTGGGCCCAAAGCCTTGTCTCCCATCCACCATGGCTGATGAGGCCCGAGCCCCTGATTCCTGAGGTTAGCAAAACCTCTGGGCAGCCAAAGCATCTATCTGAATGACATACTTTGACTTCTTTGAAATTTATTGACATTTTCTTCATTGCCTGGAACATGATGAATCTTTAAATATCCTTTGACAACAAAACATAGATGTGCTGTCTATCTATAGAACACAAAGTATGGTGCTTGTGAAAGAAAACACATTATATAACCATCATCTATAAGTTAAAATTATTTTTCCACTTCCTCTGTCCAAAACCAAAGAGGGATTTGTTGACCTTCTCACCATGCTTTTGATTTTGTTAATTCTATTTTTGATTCCTTTGAATTTGAATTTTTTAAAATCTTTTCTGATATTGCTGTTGTAAAATATGATGCCTTATGCCCAGTCTCTGCATGTAACTGGTTCTTGTGTTTTTTCTCTCTGGAAGCTTTAGATATTTCATTGCCTAAAGGACTCTGGCATCTTATCGTCCTTCATTATTTTGGACTTTTGATGGACATTTCCAATCTGCAGATTTTGTATATTTCCATTCTGAGATAGTCTCTAATATAACTTTTTTAAATTCCCTTCCCTTTATTTCTTTGCTCTTTCTGGGACTACAAATATGGAAATGTTAAGCTTCCTAGATGGATCCTCTGATTTTTCTCAACTTCTCTCTCTGGGTTATTTGTCATTTCTTTGACTTTGGTGGAGTTTTCTTCCAATTAATTTATTGGATGTTCAAAGTTCAAAAAATCTTCTTTGTTTTTGTTATTCATTTTAGTAGTAATTCTGCTGCCCACATGCAGTGTCCTGTCTCTCTGAAGATAATAATTATGGTTTATTTGAAATTTTCTTCTGCTTCCTGAATGGTGTCTGTTTCCTCTGAATCCTGTTTTTGTTGGCTTCTTCTTTCTCGTCTCTTCTCTTTTCTCCCTCCCCCCCTTTCCACCCTCTTCTCTGTAAGGCTGTCTCCAAATATCTGTTCAAATTCAAGAGTGAAGCTCTAAAAAGCTGAGTCAATGGTAGACCTTATGGTGGGCAATCAGATGATCATGGTCCATTCCATGGGGRAAACCCAAACATGAGTATCTGCAGTCTCTTTCCCAGGATAGCTTTGTTTTTCCAGAAGAGTCCTTTAGGCTTCTGCCTTGGGGAGGTTACTGCTGCTGGGTGTCACTCTGGACCAGGGTTGGGCAAGGCCCCAGGAATCTCACCATGCTGTGAGCAGACTTCCACATACTCCACCTGCTGGAGCACAGCCCTTCCCTGCATCCCCCTCCATCGGTGATGTCCCCAAGTTGAGTCTCTGGCTGTTTCTCTGACCTCTCAGATAGGGAGAGGGCTTGTGGCTGGGCCGTCCAGGGCAAATGAGAACCTGAAGGATTTTGTCAGTTTCTCCTCATTCCTACCAGCTGCAGAGCTGAGAGCCTCCAGCCCATACCCTTTGCTGTCCAGAATCTTGGTCCTTGTGTTTGACCTTCCTCTTCTATGGTAAGTTTCCATTGCCATTTCTCTACCACGGTGTTGTGGTACAGAACTGCAGATGTCTTCAGCTCTCATCAATGATGCACCTCCTTGTTTGGAGGTGGATTCCAAGAGGAGGAAAGTGAGACAATATGTACTTTGCCATTTTGAAATCAGAAATCCTCATCCCTTTATTTTAAAAAATATTTTTAGAATTTTTTTTTTTTAGTTGTTGATGGACACAAGACCTTTATTTGATTTATTTTTATGTTGTGCTGAGGATCGAACCCAGTGCCTCACACATGCTAGGCAAACACTCTACCACTGAGCCCCAGCTCCAGCCCAACATTTTAATTTTTATTTTAGATATGCCTCTAGTAAATAGCATACAATTGAGTTTTGTTCAGACTCAGTCTGAAGTCTTTTTGCTTTGTTTTTGTTTTATAGGATAAAAAAKAATGTAACACAAAATGTACCACCTTGGTTGTCTTTAAGTGTGTAGCTCAGGGATGTGAATTAAGTATATTCTCATGGTTGTGAAACATTTGGTTTTTTCAACAAGTGAAAGTTTAATCCATGGGTAACTTTATGTGCTATTTGACCTTTACTCTGCCATCTTTTTTTAATATTTAATTGTTTTAGTTGCAGTTGGACACAATACTTTTATTTCACTTATTTATTTTTTATGTGGTGCTGAGGATCAAACCCAGGGTCTCACACATTCGAGGCGAGTGCTCTACCGCTGAGCCCCAGCCCCAGCCCCTACTCTGCCATCTTATGCTGTGCTTTCTGGTTTTTTGAATGTCCTTTGCTGTTTCTTTATGTTATATTCCTCAGGTTTTACTTGCTCTTTTCCTCCTTCCCTGCAGATGATCTGAAAGTGATATGTACTTCTTTTTCTATCAGTGGTTACCTTTAAGTAAAAAGATGTATATATTAGAAATTATACTTAAATGTTAGTACTCCAGTGAAGCCGGCTTCTAGCACTGTCATAGATATTTCTCCCCGTTGTATATTACATTGGTCAATTTTGAATGAATTCCACCATGGGAACAAAAATCACGTTCACCAAGTCTTTAAGGATCCTAAATACATAAAATCCGAGATGCCATTGTCTTGTTTTTCTTCTTTATATCTGACCATCATATTTTGGCCTGTTTCCCTGAATTCGTTTTCCTAAATCAGTTCCTTAAATAATTACTGTCCTCTAAATCTTCCATGTCCCACTTTTTCTCTTGTTCCCTGGATTATCAAACCCACTTACAAGGACTTAGGCCAGTCCAGGAAAGTTCCAGGCAAATCAGAACCAGTTGGTTACCCAAGGTCCAGACCTTCATCCATCTCTTTTTTTTTGCTACACAAATATGGTAGCCTTCCAGGTGGTCTCCCTAACACCATTCCCATGCTCCTTAAGCCCACTTTCCACATCTCTGCCTAAGTCATCTTTCTAAAACAGAATTCTGACATGTCACTCCACTCTTGGAACCCTTCCATCATTTCTCATTCTCCAAGGGCAGAAAGATTTCCAGAGCCAGATGTGATGGTGCATGGCTATCATCCCAGTTACTCAGGTGGTTGAGGCAGGAGGATTGCAAATTCAAGGTAACTCAGTGCAACCCTGTGTCAAAATAAAAAGTAAAAAGGTCTGGGGGCATAGCTCAGTGGTAGAGCAGCCGAGGCTGGGAAAGGAGGGAGGGAGGGAAGACAGGCTGGCTCTATGGGGCTCCTCTTCCTCTCCATCTGCAGCTTTGGCCTCTCCTTTCAGGTCTTCTCTGCCAAGGGATTTGGAAGTGTTCTGGAACCCTTGCTTATGCTATCTGCCCAGAAACCCCTTTCCTCCCTTCTTCTTTCACACCTTCTTTTTGTAACTCCTCATCCTGCAAAATGAGAGACTCATCTCCCTGGGAGGCCTGTCTGGATGCTCCTCTTCCCTCCACATTCTGGCCTCTCTCCCCACTCCTTGGTGAGCTAGAGGCCCCACCTCGATAATCTGCTTTATCTTCCTGGAGACACAGCCATTTGCAACTCTGGAAATGGCACCACAGTTTAGGGGGTCCATGGGCTCAGGTCCCTGGTCTTAATCCTCCCTGTTCCCCGAGCACTCAGTGTGTCTGGCACCCAACAGTTTCACCAGATGTTTACCAGTCCTCCCTCTGTGACATCCCAGAACCAGAAGCCCACTTCCTCTGAGCACCCACCCACTGTAGGAGAGCTCGGGTTGGCGGAGAGATCTGCCTTCCCATAGGGTAGCATGATGTTTAAGCTTTAAGCTCCCCAGTGGACCCGTTTACTCTTATGTTGYATTTCCTCTTTCAAAGTCAGTTCCTTACTTCTGTTTTCAATGACCTCTTTAAACAACCTTGGTCAGGGGCTTTCTGAACATCTAAATTTATCACCTTGGCAAGTTCCCTTTTGTCTTTGAACTGATTTACTGGGGTGGGGGGAATTCCAGTACCTGTGCTTTCCTCTTGGAAGCCAGGTGGGTTCATAAGCATCTCCTGTCCAAATGGCTCAGAAAGTAAATATTGGTCAGTAAGAGGAAGTTCGTGGTTGAGCTGTAGCAAAGCTGTAGCTGCAGCTCAGAGAACAACATGGGCAAGGGCATGGGGACTGGCCTGGTGAGTTTAAGGATCAGCAAAGATGTGACATTGGCTGAACTGCAAGTTTGACAGAGGACAGCAWTGGCGAATAAGGCAAGAACATAAGAATTGGGGCTTGGGGGTTTGGAAAGCAAGAAGTGATCGAAAAGAACAGGAAGCCGTTAGCAGCATTTTGCCCACCCCCTCATCTTGTGGGGACGTGCACCCTTTGCAAGTTCTGCATCTGACCCTTTCCACGGGCATCCACCATTGCCACATTTATAAACTACAGTCCAAGACTCCTGACCATCTTGTGGTCCTCATGGGACAAAGTCCAGCAGGAAAGGTGTGTCTAAGCTGCAAAACACAAAGGAGAAAGAAAAGGCACCTGCTGACACTGTGGGCAGGTGGAAGGATGCCCTGAGACTGCAATTGTTATAAAGAGGACAGGGCCAGGTCCTGAGTGGGGACATGGAAACCCAGGTCCTGCTAGACACACCTGGAGCAGCCTGATGCAGGGCAATRAGCACTTAGCTGGGAGTCGGCAAGCTGGGCCCCACACTACTGTGCAACCTTAAGCCGGTCACACTGATCCCCCCTGGCCTCAGTCTTCCCACCAGATGYAGTTCAAGCATGGTCCCATTAACTGCCACCAACTGAATGTACCTGGCTTTCCTCCAGCCCCAGTTCAATAAGAATTCCAACCCCCTACAATATCTCCAGAAATTTCTGGAAGATTCCTGGTGATATCCCAATGCTGACAGGAACCCAGTTAGCTGTCCGCCAAGCGCCCACTAGGTTTCAATGCCCCCTCACCCACTGTCCACAAGCAACCCCATCCCTGTGGCTGAGAGGCCCAAAGCACCAAAGCTGCTTCAGTTTCTGTTACAAAGCCAGGAGAAGTCCCCACTCTCCTTTGTCACCCTCTGTCATGGGGTCCTCCTTGCCACCCATGAAGGTTTGGGTAAATCTTTCTGACTTCACTCACAAGTCACCTGTTCAGATTGACATGTCTGAGGATGGGGTGGTGGTAGAAGGGGGCATAGGCTAGGAGACAAACCAAAGAGAAAAAGAATCCACAGTGGGAACCCCACGTACACCCATGACAACTGAGGCTTCATCACTGAGACCTCTGTTCACACTTGGCTCCTTGGAAAATTATAAATAATAATAATAATAATAATAAATGGTCACCATTCTTACAGTTCTTATCATATCAGGCACTGATCCAAAAACTTACATATGCTATATCAGTTAATGTTCAGAATAGTCCTACAAAGTAATTGCTATTATCGCCATATTTTTTTTTTCTAAATAGCACAGAGAGATTAAGAAACATGTCCYAAATCACACAGCTAGTAAATGGAAGAGACAGGATTAGAACCTGGGCAATCTGGTTTAGAGACTGCTTAGACTCTCCTCCTGGGAGATTCTTGCACACTCTGCCTGCAGACTTCTGGCTGACCTACCCCAACTGTAAATGTTCAGATGACATTCCCAGACATGGTTCAGGTTGCTGTTGCTATCTGACAATGGAATAGTGGGTTGACCCATGGTTCTCGGCTCTGCATCCACAATCAACTCAAGGATCTCTAATCTTATGTGTGGTTCTTATGAACCGCAAGGATTGAGAACTGACTCTTGCAACATCAGAGTTCTGGGGCTGCAAATTACCCAGAGCTGCTACCCATGTGTGGAAGGGATCAGAGACACAGAAAAGCCCTCTGAAAGTCCCACCTGTACCCACAATGCTCCAAGTCCTCTACGCCACGGTCTCCAGAGCAGCCCTCTCGGGTGGAGGATTGGAAAGATGCCTGGGGCCTGCTTTACTTTGGCCTGGTCTGAGRTTTGTGTACTTGGTTGCTTTCTGGACCCTCTCTCTATGCCCCATTTAAATAATTTTGTGCATAATTTAATGCTGAGAACTAGGGCCAGGACTTATAAACCCTCTGAAWAACTCCCCGATTCTACACATAGCAACATACAGGAGGTGACTGGAAAATGCTTATTGATCAACCCTCTAACTCATATCACTCAATAATCTGGCACACACATCATCCACAGCATTCCAATTTCCATTCAGGTTTCAGGTTTAAGATTGGGGAAAAAAATTGCAGAAAACATGCACGATCCAAAGGCAACCAGGARGCAGTTAATGTAGGATTATCACTGCTCAGAGTCACTTGCAGAAAGAGAGCCAGTGTCCTACCCTGTGGGCAGGACCRAAGAAACACACCAGATTCCAAGATAGGAGATGTCGGCAGGGACATCCACCGAGCAAAGGTGACACTCATGAGCTSTCTCTCTTACAGACAGTGACAAATACCTTCCGGACATCCAACATCCAGATCCAGAGCCAGGAACAGAAGCTGCTGACTCTGTCACTGGACAAGGACAGTCGGCGTACCTTCAGGGATGTGGTCAGGTGAGCTGGGCCCACCCCTAGGGCTCCAGGCCCCATGGCACAKACCAAAGCAGGAGCCAGCTCATGCCATCTTCTACTGCTAGTCTCAGATATCTCCTCAGAGGCAGAGCCTGGGCACGGGCTTCCACCACTGCCCCGTGACTTAAACCCAGGAAGAAGAGGCCAATGAATGGCTATCACTGATCCAACCCCCTCTGCTGGCACTGGCCCCTCCCACACATGCTACCCTCCTGGGGCATCTGTGTCCCAGTTATTGCCAGCTTTCCAGGTTTTCCCCACYGAGGTGTGTTTAGGTAAGGAAGGCAGACAGACACACAGGTGACTGGATCCTCTGGGCAGCCCGGGCTCATATTCTCCTCCTCTAGAATTTTCCTCTTCCTTCTGCATTACCCTCCTCTATACCCTACATTAACAGATCTGCTTTTCAAACATCCAGGGCAGATCTGATSCCTGACATGGGTGCCCTGACATGGTCTCTCCCCACCACAGATTCGAGGTTGGTCCCTGCCCAGAGCCTCGTTCCAGGGCCCAGAAGTCCAAGACGTCATGGCTCAGTTTACAAGGGCAGAAGGAGATGGAAATGGCCAAAGCCAAGCCCAAATCCCTTCTGATGCCCATTAACACATTCTCCGGCATCGTCCAGTGAGTCACTGGGGCAGCAGAAGAGCTGGGTCTAAGGACGATAGGCCCAAGAAGAAGAAAAACACTACCCCTCCAGCCCTCCAGGACTTACCCACAGTCAGAACAAGGCCTGGCTCCACTGGGCAGCTCTGGCTTTGACCAGGAGACAGTGAGAGCCTGGGAGTGCACAGAGCTTGGCTGTGGAGTATGTGGCGGAGCAGGGCCCACGCCAAGGCCAGGGGATCACCCAGCAAGACTGTGACATCATGAAAGTACCCATACATAGCTTAGCTTGTCACATAAACATCCATACCTGCATTTATTTCCAACTCCTACTTCTCCCACTGTCTTTGCCCACATGAGCYCCCCACCCACCTCTGAAAACCAAGGTCAGAGCTACTGTTTTGGCTGGATCCCTGTGGCCAAGGGGAAAATCAAAAGTAGATACACACAACTGCACCTGTGCCCTCCTGAGTCTGTTCCCTTCCTTCTTGGGCCACTACTCACCTCATCTATGCCCAGGAGGGGGCCTCTCCGGGTGGAGGTGGAAATGACAGAGTCAATAAATGTACATTAAAGTGTTTCTGCTTTCATCTAATACCTGGTGATATTTGCATTTTAATAAAAATCTGTGGGGAGGGGCAGCAGTACCTAATACAACCAATTGGACCCACTTAGGCYAGATAATGGTTTGGTGAAGTATTAACTGATATGTTCTGTCACTCTGCCCCTTTCTCCTCTCATTCTTATTAATTTAAGGACTCTCCTGACCAGCATTGTCCCCARATAGAAGTAGGAAAGCAGGATAGTTTCAGAGGAGCCAGGAATTAAGGACATCAACATTCTTGCCATTTGAATTTTTTAAAAAATTATATTCAGGAGTAAAATATAAAAGATCGATGACACAGCCAAAGTAACAGCCCCAGAACTAGGTATGGGATGGGGGGAGAAAATAACAGASAGAGAACACAAAAGCTTGGACTTGAGCCCAACCCTGTCACCTGTGTGGAGTTCCCCAGGGATGCTGGCCATGAGGGTGGAGATGGTGGAAGAATCCCTCTGAAGTTTGGGGATTCAAGAGTAGAGAGGTGGGCACTTCATTTTTTGGTCTAGTTGTCCTAGAGTKGGGGCAAGATCCAGGGCACATTCTCAGGGTCAAGGAGATGGATGTAAGAAGAGCTATCTGGGGTATAGATGGACCAAGGGCATGTCTCTGTGCCTCCACGGGGCATGGGAAGCAGGCAAAGACTTCCTCRGCGAGAAACAGACACAGCCAAGGAATCTCAAAGAGAAATGGGTGCATCTGTGGGCAGCAGTGTGAAGCATGGCACCTGGAGGCCTGATTTGGGTAGCAGACGGAAAGTGGTAGGGCAGGTTGCATGCCTCCTAGGACACATCAGTCCAGGACAGGTCAAGATGGAGTCGCCGATGGATGTTATGGCTTCCACTGAAGCTGCTTTCTGTGGCACCTGGAGAGGAAAGGGACTAGCGACAGTTCTCAGTGGAACTGAGTTTTTTAAAACTTGAAATGACTACAGAGATGACTGAATTTGGTGCATTTACCTAGAAGTTGTTAGATTTTATTTTTTCTGCATTGGTGTGATATAAACTGATTCATATCAATTTGAGCATTCACAACCACTAGGCTTTTAAGCAAACATCTGCAGAGTTTACCAGTTGTTAAGGTTAGGTGAGGGCTTTGAACCTCTTTCCCAGAAGCCTCTCTACCAATTTACAATGAAAGCAAGTCTTGACCAAATTCTGCTACACATAGAGATAATGGCAAGGTGATGGCCACAGCCCCCACCCAACCCACAGCCAAATTACCTGCTTGGAGCACAAGTCCTATGAGAAGTTTACTGAATCAGTGTCTGGACACTGGGCCACTTTGGCACTCTTCCAAAGRGTTTGCACTGCTTGAATGTCTAGATTCTTCTGCCCTATTCAAGTGAAAGAGGCAATGCTTCTGGAAAAAAAAAATAATTGTACCCAGTCCACGTGACACCCTTGGGCACCACTAATTTTGGCAATGAAAAACTAGGCTAATAAATGAAGCCACTTCTGTTGATCTATGATTGTTGAAGTGCTTGTAGTAGCTGCCTCCGGAGTGTGGCATTTTGATTAAATGCTAACCAAGCACCTCTGGAGTGAATACTTACAAACACAGCAACTGGCCTACCTTTGGTATAGATTTWAAACTAGCCAGTACCTAATACTGTTCTGGAGCTCTGGTGCACCATCAGGACTGGATCTGACTGCCCTCAGCTGTCAGTCCTATTACAGGATTGTTCTGGCTGAAATAAATTGTGTCACCCATAAGTCACAACTCTTCCAGAGGCAGCTCACGTGCAGTTCTGGGAACAAAAACCGCTGCCTTCCTGAAACTTTGATTGTGATGCAAACACAATAAGCAAGGTAAACACGAGAAATAGAAATTGTAGTGCATCTGATGGTGAAGTGCTATAGAGAAAAATAAACCACAGGAGTGTGAGTCTTGGGGATGGYGGTAAGGGCTTGGCAATTTCACTTAGGGAGGACAGGAATGATCCCTATGGGTGGTCATTGATCAGGGGGCATTTAGCAAAGACCTGAAGAAGATGAGAGAGGGAGGAGACTCATGGATATCATTCATTCCATTTTTGCTCTCCCACCCCCAGTTTGACCATGAAAGTTTTTACTCGCTAGAAACAATCCAGGAATTTAGCTCAAGTTCCTGGGCAATGCGGGGCAGCCAGGGGCCAGGTGGGGCCCTGTGGCCAGGCTCAGAGCGCACTCTGCAGGCTACTTCTCACGCCCCAGGTGCACCTGTGCACCACGGGGGAGGCGGGGTGAGGGCGGGAGGCTGGAGGACGTGGCAGGTGCAGCGGCTCCGCCCTCGCCGCACCGCCCCCTGGGGGGCAGGGCCACTTCCGGGTCAGTGGCCGGACGTGGGGTGGGGGGGTGGCCGTTGGTCGCGTGACCGCAGCGCCGCCRGAGGCCGGAGGCGCAGTCCTGCTAACTCTGCGCTGGGATCCCCGAGCCTCCCTCCTGGGGACATGGGGACACACCTGCCCTGCGCCCCGCGCTGCCCTCCGCAGGTCCGGGTCTGACGGAGCTGGGCAGCCATGAGCGCGAACCCCCAGTGGGACGTCAGCAGGGCGCTGGGGGTGGCCAGGCTTTTCCACCTGGTGTGCGGAGTCCGGGATGCCTGCGTGACCCCGTTCCTGACCCTCTACCTGAGACAGCTGGGCTTGGCCGCGCCCTGGGTAGGCATCCTAATGGGAACCAAGCACCTGATCGCAGCCTTCTGGGCTCCGTTCTGCGCCTTCCTGGCCAAAAGCTACCAGAAAAGGAGAGTGCTTCTGATCGTGTCGCTGYTTGGTTCGGTAGGAGCCAGCCTCTTCATGGTCCTCATCCCAGCCTTGGACAAAGATCTGGAATACCACTCTTGTAACAGAAGCAATAGGGTGACCACTACAGTGGTACCCACAGGGGTCACATTAGCTGTGAACGGCATCTCCATCCAAGAGTCTGCCTCAAAGCACTCAGCAGGAGGGGCACCCAGCCTCCCGGCCAGGAGGGATCCCCGAATGGTGGAAGCCTCTGGCTTAAGAAATGGACCCGGTGAAAGTGACCAAGAAATTTTCAGTGATCTGTACAGATACTCAGTGGACTCCACTGAAGGAGCCAGGACCATGTCCCAGATTCTCCATTCTGTCACTTCAGGGGTGAAAGCTAATTCCTGGGAAGATGTTTTTGAGGCTTTCAACACTACCCTCACTTTGCTCCCTGAGGCCCCGGAGCTGGGAACGGTGGCCAACTCCTCAGTTGCCCAAGGAGAAGCTCAAGCCCTTGGCTTCTCTTCGGTAGGGTTGCGGTGGACTTTCGTCCTCTCCCTGGGGTTCATGGTGTTCTGGGAGCTGCTGACCGCCCCTCTGGAGCAGGTGGCAGACGACAGCCTTTATGAATACCTGGATTTTGTGGATGCCACTGACCGATACAGAAGCCTGTGGATATGGAGATCACTGGGCATGGCAGCAGGTGTGTGTGGCATTGCAGTCTTGGTGGAGCAGCTGGACTGCTTCCTGGTGACCAATGGCCCTCCAGGTGTGGTGCATTTCTATGGTTATTCGCTGATCAGCACCCTGGCCTTACTGGTGAGCATTACCTTTCCTGTTCCCATCTACCGGCGTCAGGAGCCCAGCTACAAAACGGTCAAAGCATTGTCTCTTGCCGGGGGCGACACCCGCCTGGTTCTCCTAGCCCTCACTGTCATTTTGATAGGAGCTGTTGTCAGTACCGTGCAGAACTTTCTGTTCTGGCACATGATGGACCATGGCAGCAGAGAGTTAGTGATGGGTTTCTCCATTGCCCTGGGCTTGCTGGGGGAAATTCTGCTCCATCCATTCAAAACTGCATTGCTTAAGAAACTGACCAGGGTGGGTGTGATAGGGCTGGGGCTGGGCTGCCTTGCCGGGCAGCTGCTCTACTACTCTTTCCTCTGGAACTGGTGGTCTGTCCTCCCTGTTCAGATCCTGAGTGCCGTCAGCAGCGGTGCTCTGTGGTGGGCTGTGGGGGCCTCCATAGAGGACCTGGCCTCCCCTGGCACAGAGAGGCCTCTGAGTACCATGTTCCGAAGTCACTTTTACGGTGGTGGCTGTAGCCTGGGCAGCTTCGTGGGGGGCTTCGTGGCCATGCACTTCGGCCTGGCTGTGCTCTACCAGGCCTGCTGTGTGCTCCTGTTGCTCTGGTTAGCCCTGTTCCTGTCTGTCCAGCTGAGGCTGCCCCAAGACCGGAAGATCAACTACTCAAAGCTGCTGACTGTGGAGGGAGGTGACACCAGCGACTCTGAGCAGGGCTCAGAACGGGACTGGCTAGTGAAGGCCATGAGGGAGGAGCACTCAGACTGGAAGGGCTGAGAGGAGGGCTCAGTGCTTGGATCTGGGAAGGGACTAACAGATCGGACAAAACTGTCTGCTGAGGACAGAATCCTGCCCTGGAATACCGGGAGCCTTGGGGATGAGGAGGCACGTCAATGCCAAAGGCCCAAATGGATCATCTCGTTGCATGATTTTCTTTACTTTTGTAGTAAAAAGAGATTTGACTCTTTTTTTTTTTTTTTGCAGCTTTAAAATAATGGAGGAAGAATACATTTGCTTTAAAACATTCTTTTGTATTCACTTTTTTTTTTTTTTTTTTTTTTTGGGGGATTAAACCAAGGGGCACTCTAACACTGAGCCCTCTCACCAGCCCTTTTTATTTATTTATTTTTTTTTTTTTTTTGGTACTGGGGGATTAAACCAAGGGGCACTCTAACACTGAGCCCTCTCACCAGCCCTTTTTATTTATTTATTTTTTTTTTTATTTTGAGACAGGGCCTTGCTAAGTTGCCCAAGCTGGCCTCAAACTTGTGATCCTCCTGCCTCAGCCTCCCAAATTTCTGGGATTACAGATGTGCACTACTGCACCTAGCTTTTTCAATGTATTTTGATGGAGAAGTTT